GCTCCGGATGGAGTAAGCGCCCTCTATATGGACTTCCAGTTGTTTTGTTTATCTTTTTTTTTTTTTTTTTTCTGGTAGGACATTGCAAGATGGCAGGCTGCTAAGGAACCAGACCAAGCGGACGTAAATGTGATCGATGCCGCGTTACCTTCTCGCCAGAACTGGAGATGGAAGCTAACGAAAGCACGCTGGGATTCCATTTCCCATGTATTTTGTCAATAAAGGCAACGTGGGTGTTATTTTGTTTAGATTCCATTACTAGAAGCTCGTTACATGGCTCGTGAACAGCGTCTCGGTAGGCTCGGTAAGGATCATGGCCCAGGGGGAGGGGGGGGGGGGGGCTGTACCCCCCTGGATCTCACCAGGGGAGGGGGGTACGAGCCCCGACGCCCCCCCGTAGTCTACGCCTACGCCCTCCACGATCTTCCGAGCCCAGAAAGGGCGGCTTTGCTCACAGATTCCAGAGCGACACTTCAAATTCTCAGCAATCTGGAAGACGCACCTCCGATCGCCCGCATCATCGCTTTCAAATTCGAATCCTTGGAAACGATAGGCTGGACTATAGCATTCCAGTGACTGCCATCTCATTGTGGAATCGACGGCAACGAAAGGGCCGACCGAATCGCAGCTCACGCACATGAGCTCACCAACAGCACTCTCCACGTGCCGAAGATCAACGAGGCAAGGCTTCTCATTGCACGTGAGACGCAAAAAAGACACCCGGACCTAGGCGTAGCAGGAGGAACCCCACCATCACCGGTTCCCACCAAACTCGGTCGACCAGAAGCAGCCCTTCACCGACTCAGAACTCGCTCAGCTTTTACAGCCTCTTGGCTTTACCGCATCAAATGCGTGGACAGCCAACGCTGTCAGACATGCCAAGTTCCCGAAGATATAGAGAACATCTCCTTTGTGACTGCCCAATCTTTGACGCTCAGCGTTCCAGACTCCACCTTGAGCTTCGTCAAATAGGCAAGGCTCCACCTTTCGCTCCTGCTTTTCCCGCCAGGTCCCAGGGGCATCGCTACGAAAACGTTCGCGCTGCTCCTGACATTCCTGGAAGACACCGGTCTGGCTGACCATCTTTAATGCCTGGTGTTCTTTCCAGTCTCCAGTGCGGCGGGCCCGGCTTGGCGCAAGACCTGGGATTGTGACGGGTAGCATGACCTTCTGCCATTGAGGTGGCAGACCTGACAGTGCTGGACTAGACACCGGTGAATATCTTTTGATATGCGTGTGCCTTGTTCGAACCTTCTTTTCTTTCTTTCTTCTCTCTCTCTCTTCTTGCTCAGACCGGGACTGGCAGGCCCCCATTAGAAGGAATGGCCACATTGTTCCGGTTTTCGTCCCCCCCCCCCCCCCTTGGTTTTAAATATAATACGAATAATAATAATAATGTTTGTTTTTTTTTGCACCAAAAATGCATGATTTAGGAGGCCTGCAGAAAAAAGTTGACAAATAGACAGCTTGACAAAGCCGAAAGTTCCATACTGGCAGCATCGGGGCAAAGATAAGGAAACATAGTGAAAATCTTTTAAGATAAAAAGATAAAAAAGACAGAACAGATAATAAATTATACATAATAGAAATACAAAAAAATGGACGCGTAATGATGAATCTTTACACGCATAATATAATAACGTGTACCAAATAGAAATAAAATTAACACATAGTGACAAGTCGTTTGATTCACACACACATACACAAAAAGAAAAGATAAACAAAAAATGAACCAGTGGAAGTTCCAAGAAACCAAATTACCCCCCCCCCTTTTTTTTTCAGTATAAGAGTTTAAAGCATTCCGAAAAAGTTACGCAGTTCTTTAAAAGAGATATGAGTCTGGCTGCATATTTTTGTCATATATTTTATTTATTAATCTTGGTAATTTGTTTTGTATCATTTCTAAGCCGTACGTTGTTTTACAGGTGTCTATTTTCCAAGGCTCATTTTTTCGCGTGTTGCGTACTGTAGCATGTGTCCTTAGTTTTGCAAGTTTTTAAAAGGCAAATTTTATTTCGTTTCTTGTTTATATTGCTTGCACAGGCGGAAATCATACATTTTTGTTATCGGCATTACATTATACTTTGTAAATAGGGATTGAGTGTGATGGTGATTAGGCACCTTTTCTACCATTCTCAGAAACCTTTTTTGTAATATATGTATTTTCGGTAGATGGTCTTGGTGTGGACAAAGCCCAGACTAAATGACAGCAGTTGAGTCTTGCAGTAAATAGGGAACTATCTATTAAGATCATAATGTTTCGTGGGAGTATACAGCTATTCCGATATGTCACGCCGAGTATCTGCGACAGCTTAGTTATAAATGAATTTATATGATGGTCCCAAGACAATGTTTTCTGAAATATCACTCACAATGTCTTGAAACGGGGCAAGATCTCAACAGGAGCAGATTTTAAAGTAATTGTTTCGCTTGAGACAATATTCTTGTTTTTACCACCAAATTAAATTGATTTTGTCTTTTCAACATTTATCTTTAAATCATTATACCTTTTGTCCAGTCTTCTAGCCCGAGTATTGTTGAATTTGCATGGTAAGTTATTTCATCGGGTAATTTTCGGGCTAAAAGTATACTCGTATCGTCTGTATAATTAATAAATATAGCACTAAAAGAAATCCTTACGATATCATTTACAAACATATTGAAAAGAAATTTGCCCAAAATGCTGCCCTGTGATGCGCCGGAAGAAACTGGTAGAGGGTCCGTTAGAAAGTCATCCAAGCTAACGATTTGTCCACGATATTGCAAATAAGATCGAATAAGGGATGTCGCGATTCCCCGAATACCATATCGCTCTAGTTTTTGTATGAGAAGTTCGTGATTAATATGGTCGAAGGCTTTTGTAAAGTCTACAAACAGTCCTAAAACAAGATTTTCTTTTTCTAATTCGGATAGAATGTGCCCTTTCTGCGCTAATAGAGCGAGCTGTGTACTGAGGTTTTTACGAAACCCGTGCTGGGAGTCAATTAGCAGGTGATGTTTTGTTTCAAAATTATTAAATCGTTTAAGAATAACTCTTTCGAATGCCTTTGAGAGTAGTGGCAGAATAGATACTGATCTGGGGGCAATTCCCCGTGTCATTCCTGTCACCTTCTTTAAAAAGCACTGTGACCCGCGCAACCTGCATTTAAACAGGCGCAGCCGACGAGCTAATGGTACCGATTAGAGTGTCAAAAGCGCACCGTCATGATGTTTGTCATGTTTCTGTACATGTTCTATCATTTCTGAACCAGTCATAAACATAAAAGGTCCAGTGACTTGCACTTTTGACGCTCCTTGGCTGGTTCCATCAGCTCGTAGCATCGGCTGCGTCTGGGCTTTATCTGAAACGAAGAGTAGGATAGGATTCGGTAGTCAATTTGATAAAGGATGGTTGAGGGAGTGTGTGTCAGAAAGGAAGTGTGGCAACAGTTAAAGAAAAATTGATAAGGGTCATGAAATAAATACAAAAATAAGCGAGGAAAATTGAGAGAATGGGAGAGAAAACTGAGGCAGGATTTCCGCCTCTTTCTCTCTTCACTCACTCTTGCTGTCTATCTCGATTCTACCAGACATATCGACATACCTATGTCGAGTGTTTACGTTCGGCAAGTTAAGATGAAAAGCCGTCATGAGAGAAACAAAAAAAGGATCCAAAATAAGAAAGCGGAGAAAAATTAAAAAAAAAAAAAAAAAGAAATGTTAACGGCTGGTATTAAAGAAAAGACAGAGGAAATGGTAGAGCGCACAAAGGGAAGACAGGGGAGGTGAGAAAATGGAACGAAGAAAAAGGGTCCGAGAAATCAAGACGAAAGAGGGCCGATGAGTTTTAGAGTCCGGACAGCGCAGCTGTAATGAACCCATCAGCCACGTTCGGTGCGCGCAAGCTGGAGTAGGTATACAAATATCAATATCAATCGCAGCAGTGTACAGAACCGTACCCGACACTCGCAAAAAATAGGCTGTCTGTTATCGGGAAGAGCTAACAAATTTTCATCGGGCGTTGCTAAAAAGCGCAAGTGGAACGCGGAAACGATTTATAAACTGTATACGGTGGACGGCGGCTGTCGACAACCCGGCAGAGAAAAAGTGGTAAAATTTTTCATGTGTTTTAACAGCAAGTCTCAACGCTCCCACAAGGTCTTAAAAGACTTCTTCTGTAAATGACGATGAACGAGTAGAAAACCAGTCTTCAGCACGCTGCCGCCAGCTTCTGCAACGCTAGCAAAACCGCAAATCGTCTGCGAGCAAGATGGTTGTCCGGTGGCTTCACTCGCGCTGCAGCGACCAAGCGGGGAAGCGCGATCCAGCAATTGTCATAGAGATCAGTGTCCACCCCGCAGGCAAACAAAGGGGCTGTTTACATGTGCCGCCATATGGTGGCGCGCACACGGTGCACAAGGTTGCTTACAAACGATGGACGGTCCGTTACGTCCGTGAAAAAACAGTGAGTGCGCAGGCGAGCTGGTGGATGTTGATCATGATGTAGAATACCCGAGATTGTGGTAAAAGCTGGGAAAGTTGGTCGAAGAAGAAAGAGAGGGGAAAAGAACTGTCTTTTTTCTTTTACCAAGTTTCCCAGCTTTTACCACAATCTCGGGTATTCTACATCATGACCATTAGATTCCCTTTCCTTTGGAAGAAAAAAAAACAAATATGGTCAGAAAATTAATTGGCAGTAAACCCAAAGGATCAGGGACAGAAATGACACTGTCAAGGTAGCCTCCTCGGTCGGCAGGAAAAGCGACGTGGTGATGTTTGGGCGAGAGGTGGTGCACTTGGGGGGTCCATTGGTGGAGTGTCCCGGAAGGACTGCGACGGGCGTGTTGCTCTAGTACGTCTCCCGACGACGACAGGCATTGATCCTCGTTGCCGTTCATTTCAGGGTCGCTGCCGGAAGGGACGAACACTTCAGGTGTTTTTTGGAGGTTCCGTGGGTTGCGACGGAAGATCCGGCCATCCTCTGTTAGGAGGACTGTATACCACCTTGGGGCCACGTAGTTCTGCACTCGTGCTTTATTACCCCACCTTCCACTGTCACGAATGCGTATAATGTCTCCTGTCCGGAGAGGAGCCAGTTGTGTCCCCTTGGGGATCATTGTGTAAGTGTTTTTTCACGGGAGACGTCGGCGGCACAGCGAAGTCGGGAACTAGTGTCCGCAGTCCCCGTTCCATACGGAGCTTCGCTGGCGATCGACCATCTTCAAGAGGAGCTGCCCGGCAGTTGAGAGGGCCCAACCAGAAACCCTCTTTGGCACACTCCGTCTTGCGTAAAACGCGCTTGACTATTTGAACTCCATTTTTCTGCCAGCCCGTTAGACCTTTGGAAACCTGGGAATTGAAATCGTGTGCACAAAATCGTAACGTGAAGCAAACTCTCTGAACTCTTTCGCAGCGAACTGTGGTCCCCCATCTGTGCACACCTCTAGAGGTATGCCGTTCAGGGGAAATATTTCAGAAAGGCTGTCAGCCACCACTGTTGCGGTGGTACTTACGGGGATTTGGAGTAAGCATCGTATAAAACCAGGTAATGTTTTCCGGCATGTTGGAACAGGTCTGTACCTACCTTAGCCCATGGGTACTCTAGGACGGAGCGGAGAGACAGAGGCTCATCAGGCTGTCGGTTTGCGAACCTCTTGCAGGTGTCGCACCTGTCAATGAAATACGTTATATCAGCAGCCATTACCGGCCATTACATCAGCTGTCAAGCCCTAGACCTGCTTTTGCCCAACCCCAGATGTCCTTGATGTAGTCGTCGCAGCATTTCCTTTCGAATGGCTGATGGGATCACTACCTTGTTTCCCTTTAGAAGCAGTCCATTGACCGGTGAAAGTTCCGATGCAAATGACTTCATCTCACCTTAAAAACGCCTTGATGACTGCAGGTAGGAGATGACCATTGAAGAGCGAGATCGCTGGTGGTCGCTGCCTTAAGGCGGCACAGGGTTTTTCTGTCCACGACCGAGGACAAGACACCGACAGCATGCACTTTGACGTTTGCCGAATCTTCGTCCAAGGGCTGCGATGGAATTCTCGATAGAGTGTCGGCATGTATCAGCTTTTTATCGGGAACAAACTGCAATGCAATTCGAAATCGTATTTCAGCAGTCGTCAAAATAAATGTTGGAGACGCGGCAACATTTATGCTATTCTTTTTTTTAGATTGCCAGTAGTAGATGATAGCCAGTTTCGATGAACAGATGTCTGCCCAGGACGTAGTCATTAAAGATCTCACAACCGAAAGTTAAGCCCAGCGCCTTTTTCTCGATCTGGGCATACCGGCGTGTTGTCTCTGTGAGCATTTGCGATATGTATCCGACCTGGCGCCAATCTGGTCCATGTTGTTGGAGTAGTGGGGCCCCAAGCGCAAATGTGGACGCATCTGTTGACAGTCTGCTTAGCAAATCAGGGCCATAGACCGCCAAAACTGAGGCTTAAGTCAGCATTTTTTTAAGCTGCTCCCACTCGCGATTGTGTGCATGGTCCATTTAAAAGTAGTGTTATATATTTTAACTAAGCCGCTCAATTCCTCAGTTTTGGACGATATATGTGCGGCAAATATTTCCCAACGTATAGCTCACCGCGCCAAGCCAGGCGTTGAACTTCTTTCTTTGACGTGGGGGTGGGGTGCTGTACGAAGCACTTCACTAAGTCTAAGTTCGGTTCAATTCCCTTCGAACTAATCCTGTCGTCAAGAAAACTGAGTTCTTCTTGTCCAAAGATGCACTTCTCTGCATTTAGCGTTAGTCCCTTAGCCTTGGTCCTTGCAAACGTCTTGTGAAGGCGCCCATCATGCCCTTTTCATGTTGCACGCCATACCAGTATATATCGTCGCTGTACACCCGCACACCGGAGAGACCGTCGAATATCTGGGTCACTGAACTTCGGAATACTTTGGGCGAGGACGTGTGTTTGGACGTTTGTTCATCGAGTGAGATCTGATGAAAGCCAGTTTGCGTCAAGGCGGCTGAAATACTTCGTAGGCGCTAGCTCGCCCTTGATTTTCTTGCGACGTGCGCCAGGGTCTATGCTATGCGAAGCATGTCATTCTTTTACCGCACAATGACCAATAGACACATACAATCGGATAGGTCTTCAATTTTAGCGATGATGCTTGCGGCCTCCGTGTAGTCCAGTTCCTCCCACCACCGGTATACGGCGTCCTCTTGAAGCACAATCTTGTACTCTCGTCGTGTTTTGCCAATATCCGGTGAATAGACTTGGAAATTGCTGCTAAATGCATTCACTGGGCGACTTGTTATCCAGCGAGTCCACTCTGTTCACGAGTCCCAACTGTTCACTCTCTCTGAGGCCCAGGAAGGCTTGCTTATATTTTACCACGAAAAAGTCGAGCTACACACGCCGTTTGCCGAAGTGCACCAAGAGACGAAATGTCCGCTACATAGGATTTTCGCCGCCCACGTATTGGCAAAGAATGCTCCTCGTGGAACGAGGCTGCTGTTTGGTTTTCAGCTTCGCGAACAGGGTGCCCTGGATAGGAGGTTCGCCTGCGCTCCCGTATCGATTTTCAGTTGCACTTCGGTCCCTTCGATGTGCGTTTTGACGACCCAGTCGCGGCTGCTCTGGCTGCTTTCGGTGGTCGACATTTCGAGAATATCGGTGTCGGTGTCGCTCTCATTGCCTTCGGTAACGCCATGAACGCCCGCGTTGTTCCGGCAACAGCCTGCGAAGTGATTCGGCTTCTTGCACATGAAGCACGTTTTACCGTACGCGGGGATTTTTTTGGGTCGTGAGACAAGCTGACAAAACGGCACGTGCTGCGCGGTCACGCTGTTTGACTTGTCCCTTTTGAACTGGTTCAATCTTTGGTGAGTCTCCGTTCCACGCTTTGTTCTGGACTTCGGCACACTCTTCGGCCTCGCAGCAGTCGACGGCCACTTCTAGAGTAATGTTATTTTTTCTTAGCAGCTTATCGCGTAGCGACGTGCTCAAAATTCCATAGACGATCTGATCGCGGGGTATAGATTCCTTTACCTCTGCGAGGTTGCACGTTCTAGCCTTGAGTTGTAGGTCCCGGAAAATTTGCTCGAACGGCTCACCCACGGCTTGGCGACGCGTACTTGGGCAGGCACTAGTCCTCAAATGTCCTGAACAGCACGTCGTAGTCGTTCGGCCCCTCAGGAAACAAATTTAACGTGTTCAACACGTCGGTGGCTTCTTGGCCCGCGATGTGCAAGATGGAGGCCTTTTGTTCTTTGCTGTGCGGCTTCGTCGGTTCCGTTGCTCGGAGATGCAGTTCGATTCGTTGCTTAAACTTCTGCTAGGACGCGGCTGCTGCGTTGTCACCCAACTTCAACGGCTCCGGCGGTGGAAGGTCTGTCCATTTCTGCGTACAGGCGTGCATATAGCGTTTGTCAGTTTCCCATGGCATGCATCCACGCGCACTTACACAACGCCTAAAGGGACGCAACGGGACGCGCAACGAAAACGCGACCTAAAAACGTCCCATCTTCCTCGCCAGGGGCGCTGCAGAAAACTTGAGAGCTACCGGTCTCATGGAGACCAAAGCAGACACGAGACGCAAGCAGAGGGCCTAGATTGAAGGGAGGGTCCATCTCCAACCATCGGGAGCGTTTGCAATTTAATGGCGGACGCCTCCTGTGGAGATTGGCCGCAAATGCGCATGCGCTGCGTTTTCGCGTAGCGAGGAGGAAAGCAGGGGGGAAAAGGCGGAGACGTTTGCAGACGATAAACGCTTTCGTCACCCCCTTGCAGCTCGAATTGCAAACGCGGCTAATGAAACCACGTGACCCCGCCCGGAGCAGTTGGACACTCTCTCTAATGCAGGCTCTTTATAATAGGATGTAGAGAGCATGCAGTTATTATAATGTACGCTAGAGGTTCAGTTGGCGCTAGTGTCTATGCGACTCCCGGGAGGCAAATTGAAGCAGACAGCAACCAGTCTACTTTTGCAGTGCTCCTGTGCATTCCTATGGGAAAACGGGCGTGAATTTTGTCTCTTCGCCAGAAAATAACATAAAACACTTTTGTTATGTGGGTATCAATGAATAGTACGTACCTTTATTAACACTGTAAAAGTGTAATTTCTTAAGTGTGCGAATTTTTCTTTATCAGTGACCGATGTTTAACTTCGCTCTATTTCAGACCCAAACATGCAACGATTCTGAGCAAAATTATAATTGAAATGAATACAGAGTGTGTTCAAGGTTCGCCAGCATTCCGGTGACGCTTATATATTGCTATTATGCCAGTCCTGTCACTATACAAAAATGACCCCGTCTTCTATCTTTGCGAGCGGTTAAAAACATTCAAAACGTAAATAATAAAGTACGTGGGTTTTGAAAGGTGTCTATATTTTTTCTGAGCGTGCTGGTGATTCTTTAAACGTAAAACAAGCATCTTTACACAAAGCAGAAGGAATAAAGCAGCACTTATTGAAAATCGGACGATATTACGTGGCCTTCAAATTATTTGGATCGTGCATGCACAGGGGGTTAGTGATCCAGTGTTACTGCGTAGTTCTTGCCGTCTCTCTGTTTTCCGGATGTCCTTCGTTCGTTTGGCACGTATATCCCCCATGCTGAAAAGCGCCGACGTCGTGTTCGCGCTAGCAGTGTCCGATAGTGCACATAAATACATGTAAGAAGCCGTTTTAGCGCCGTTTTTAATGCAATGAATTTGAAAAAAAAAAGAATGCCGTAACGGGCCAATTATTTCGTCTGCTTGAATCAGAAATGTTCCAAGCTACCTAGTACGTACTGATTATTCGGGATACTGCATGGCTCTTATAACCGAGCGCAGGGAGAAAATTCACTCACTTTTTCCCATAAAAATGCATGACCGCGGAAACCAATTTTCGACTGGTTGCTGCCTGCTTCAATTTGCAACTAGAGTAACTGTATATGCTATACAGTAACACTATTCGCAACAGCACACCAGCGCCAGCTGAACCTCTAGCGTACATTCATAGCCTCCTCTGTACTGCCTGGCAGTTCGATGGCGGAGCCATAGAGTGCTCGGTCGCAGATTTAGAACGCGAGGATCTGGTAGCACAGAGCATTTCTCGGGGAGTCTGGTATTCAGTGCACAGCTTTTACAGCGGCGAGGACCCAAAACATGGTTTTCAAACCCGACGAAAAAAGAAGCGGTAGCCTGAGGAACGCGAGAAGCACGATCAGAGATTTCATCGCTCGGGACAAGTTTGTTTCGGCGTCTCGCCGCAGCGGGGCGCCCGTTACATGACTCTTGTCTGCCGCTCTACCTTTTCACTTTCAGTGGCCGCGTCACGTGACGATCTGCCAGGCTTCGTCAGTAGAGAGGAGGCTATGGTACATTACAATAACTCTATGATGGTGACATCAGAATGCCGAGCTCTGATTAAAGAATAGTGGGTTTACCTCACGGCAGCTTGCCTTGAGGTATACCCACTATTCTTCAATCAGAGCTCAGCGTTCTGACGTCACCACAACCCCTGCAAACGAAGCAGACGAACTTGCGCTCTGCATAGACTTCGTCCTTTTGTGTTGGCGGTGATGACCTTAAGATTGAGACTGTATAAGGAGGTGGACTAAATAAGCGAGTTAGCTGAGTTTGAGACGCCGTCATCTCTATTTTCTGTCTCTTCTACGTTTTGATGTTTCTTCTCTACCCCAGTCCCAGGCAGGCACGTAGCCATAATTTTGATTCGGGGGGGGGGGGGGGGGGGGGGGGGGGGGGCATGTTTCTTCCCCCTTTTCTCCCATCTCTACGTGCCTGGTCTCAGGTTACTTCAATATGGTTAATATTCCCCAAGCTCACCTGCACCCTTACCATCCTTTCTTTTTCATCAATACCGAGCTTGACCTACCTCAGCTTGGAGGATGTTCTCGCAATGTTTGTTATATGACGCTAGTTCCTTCCTATGGATCGCTGAGGATGTCGCACGCTTTAACAAACGGTGTAGAGTTCAAATATTAAAATAATATGAGGACACTTAAGACTGCTTACGGTGAAGGAATGCGAAAGCCTTCCTACATGCAGCGCATTCCTTTAAGCAGCGCGCCATATCTTCCTATTGCGCACGGCGCTCCGGCGGTGAAATCAAGCTCCCCCACTGCGCAGGCGCGGCGAACCCCACCGGCTCAACGCCTTTCGTAACGATGCATCTGTGTTGCTATCCTTTTCTTTGTGTTTTATTTCTGAGGCGCGTCCGCTTTGGCCTCGAGCGCCCCGCCGACTTCCGTGACGAAGGGGGTGTCTAAATTTTTTATGGAGGGGGAGGGGGTTGCGAATTAAGGGGGTGCTTTCAGAAAAACAAAGACGGATACAGACAATGCCGGCTTTGCTCCATGGGACAGAACGCTTTCGCGTTAATAATCGAAGAAGACTTTAGGGCGGGGAAAGAAAAGCTCCGTGGGCCACAGATGCTCGATTTGAACTCGCGCTCACAATTTTGACCATTTCGATTATTGTGATTTGCCTGCCATCTCTCGGTGATAGCCACAAACCCACCCACCTAGACTCGTCTTAGTTTCTTTAAAAGTCCACTAGGTTGCAGCAGTCCCCGTCCAAACATTAGAATATTGTTCAAGGATTTGAAGCGTGCGTCTAGTCTTTCTGCAAGTGCCATTCATGTCGTCGGACTCGTCGACGTATCGTGATCCTGAGGTCGGCTTCCTCGTGTCAGAATTTCATAAGAATATGATGGTAACGTGTTGTTGCTGTATTTAATAACTTAAACACACCGCGTTTCGTCATGAAGTGTCACTACGAAGTGTTGGGAGTCGAAAGGAACGTTTCGCCAGACGAACTGAAGCTGTGTTACCGCAAGCAAGCTTTGCTCTGGCATCCAGGTCAGTTTGATCAGTGCCTTTAAATTCTTCTTTTATTCGCAATTTTCTCCCGTACTGATATTTCGAGTTTTTATCTCTATTCCCGTTAATCTGACTTTCTCGGTTGAGGTTTGAGCGGGATGCGTAGCGTCCCTGCGATGTTTAGAGTGGATTGTTTCTGGGTTAATGCCTAGCTTTAAATCCAGACAAAAATCCCGACAACTTACAAGAGGCGACGGAGCAGTTCAAACTAATTCAGCAGGCCTACGATGTACTCAGCGATCCACAAGAAAGAGCGTGGTACGACAAACATCGCGAAGCCATCCTCAAGGGAGGTAAGTCAAACTGGGTCACAGAAAGTGTGTACACATCGGGGTGATAGCAGCGCTTTGAATGAAAAGGGCAGAGATGTCTTTCAGTTGTGGTTCAGCAACACAAATCCAGTTTCGTCTGTCTCGTTTGCTGCCACAGGATTGGGCGACGACTACAGGGACGATAGCCTGGACGTCTACAGCTATTTTAATTCGTCCTGTTTCAGCGGGTATAACGACGACGAAAAGGTGATTGCATCTTGGCTTGTGCGTAACTAGCTGCTGTCGTCCTGTTTTTGGTGACACTCCCATTCTCTCCTGCTTCAGGGCTTCTACACCGTGTACGGAGACGTTTTCCAGAGGATTGCAGCGGAAGACGAGCCGTTTCAGGACGATCCTGTGAACGTCCCGGTCTTTGGGACCTCCCAGAGCTCCTACGACGACGTGAGATCAGTTTTCTGTGGCTAATGGCATGTGCATTTTCTTTGAGCCTCCAGGGACAATAGACCCTCTTCAAAAGCCTGCGCCAATGCCTGTCCGCCATTGCTTGATTACATACTCCGAGCATGTATTGAACACGAGGCTTGCGTCAGCGTTCGGCGTATACCTAGCTCAGTTCGTATTGAAAATGAGCGCCGAGTCAGCTTTCGGCAAGGTCTTAGATCCAATCACGCGCTTCGTTTCCAAGCAGTGGCGACCTCCAATGTTGCTTGATTTTCTTTTGAAAGAGTCCATGGCATCCCGATGACGATGCCCGGCCAGTCCTTCTGGATCCCGCAATATCGGGATCCGGCATCGTTGTTTTAGGTCACTTCTTTTAGCATTGTTGCAGATGTGCTACGTAATGACTCGTATCCAAGACTGGTAACAAACTCCACAAAATTGTATGCTCGGTCTTATTAGAGGATGTCTTTCAAGATTAACTTATTTGTAAGCATTGTAAAATTGAAGTCGGGAATGTGACACTATTTCCGATTTGCAACATTTTACGTGTGTTTAGAGTGGCATCGGATGAAGCTTGGTGTTTAAAGGGTTGCACTGTGGGGCTTCAAACATTACGTGAGCCACCGAAATCTCACATTCCTCCTTAAATCGCAAGTGCATACTGCGACTCTGAGTACACTCTTCATGTGTGGAAGCTTCAGTCTTGGTAAGATCATCTAGAAAGTACTTGAAGTACAAAGATAATGGGAGGTTATGTGCTTCAAGTAAAGTGGTAAGTATACCGGGTGCAATGTACTTGAAGTAAAGTACTATAATTAAAATGTACTTTCAAGGTAAAATATTCCTACTTTTTAACACACTCTTTCATGGTACCCTTTCATTCCCCTAACGGTGTTTTTTTTTGTTTTGTTTTTTTTAAACTGGTATGCATTGTTTCAAGGGTAATTGGTGGTGCATCAGTTATTTTCGGAAGTGGCAGCGAATATTGGATAAAGTCACATGGCTTCAGAGTTAACAAAGCATCATTTTGCGATACAAATTTAGCAGGACCAAATTTGGGGAATGTACTTTGAAGTCAGGAGCTATGGACCATTCCATTTGGCGCTCTCAGGGCGCACCATTTTGTTCGACCGCAGTGCCCTCTTTTCACATCCGGAAGCTCAGCAGGTTCGCCGGGGTAAAACAAGAGAGAGGGCATGCACCCGACTCCGCTAGCAGACGGCAAACCGGGAGGCTGCCGTTCTTCATCTTTGGGCTGTACCGGCGAGCTGTACCGAACATCGAACTCTCGCTCGTGGCTGCCGTTGTCGAGTGTTTCGCGTTCTTAGAATATTCATGGCTACTCCAAAATTAGCCTATAGCGCTCCGTTGTTTTATTTCAGTAAATGACCAACTAGTGTATCTTTGTTCCGTTACTTCAATAGCAGTGGAGTCAGCCGGCAGTGCTACCCTCAACCGCTGCGTCTATTGCGTCAGGAGAGCATGTTTTTATTTATTATTCCAGACATCCACTCCTTGTCGCTAAAGGCCTACCCAGTACAAACTTCTTATAGTAAAAAAGCTGGAGCAACCAGATTTACTTTTCGCCAGAGAGACCGGCCACTCTAACACACCTTTCCTTTTTTTTTTTTTTTTTTTGCACACAGGTAATTGCAATTGGACCCAGTTAGTCTTTTTATCGAGCACAGCATTACACAATAGCTTGCATATGAAAATCTGCGCATCTGCTCTTGAAATTTCCAAAATGACGTGATTTTAAATCGAGTTTGAACGCCAGCCGGATGTTAGGTACAGCCCACTCAGCGGAGCAGACGACGCACTGGGTGAGAGGGGGAGGGCATTTTTTCGCTCTCCGCTCTTCCTAGTTGAATGGTCTATACTTTCCTCAGGAAGAACAAGAAAAAAAATACTTTAAGTAGAGTACAGGTACATACTTATAGAAGGTACTTCAAGTAAAGTACAAGTATGCTAAACCTCCTTGAAGTGGTACTTTAAGTACAATGTACTTAAAGTACTTCCTAACACTGGGTAGCTTCAGAGCTAATGCAACTAAAAATGAATTTTGAAATACCTGTTACTTTGGCATATATGCCATAGTAACAGGCCACCTGTGACAAAGAGCAATCACGGGGCAGCACAACCACAAAAAAAGTAATTGAAGGCTCAAGTTTGCCAAAGCATGGTTTGAATGTTCTGTCTGCACAAATATGCATTGTTTGTTCTTTAGCAGATGTGGATTGCTTTTGCAGGTGGTTCACCTCTTCTACGCACACTGGCAGAGCTACTGCACTGCCAAGAACTTTGCGTGGCTGGACGCGCACGACGTGCGGCACGCACCCAATCGGCGGGTCGCACGTCTCATGGAGAGAGAAAACCGAAAGCTGCGAGAGCAGGCCAGGAAGCAGCGCAACGAAGAAATACGGGTGAGTACGGCCAGCGTACTGGCGTTTCATGAGCTGCCATGTCTACCTTCTGTCAAGTGATAGTTGTCGAAGAAACATACTGTGGCCTCAGATGAACACCGATATGAATATTCAATTCTCACTTAGTGAGGGATACTTGCAGACAAATGTTATACCAGGGAAAGGGCCCCATGCCTGCCCCTGCCCGCCCCGCCCCGCCCCCCCCCCCCCCCCCCCCCCCATCAAAATCCTGGCTATGTGCCTGGCTAGAGGTAAAATTTCAGCATCCCTATTAAAACAACGGTCCATAGAGAGGCAGCAAAAAAATTAACCACATAATTGCCGACTTGTCTCACTGTTCGATTGTTTTGCTTTTTCATTGCAGCAACTGGTACAGTTTGTGAGGAAGCGGGACAAACGTGTGCAGCAAAAAAGAGTGAGTGTCCCGATCATACCTCACTCGAACACTGACAAGCGTTGTGAGCAGGGCTGTAACCAGGGGGGGGATAGGGGGTTCTGAACCCCCCCGAAATTTTTTTCTGGGTACGGCCCTGGTCGGTGCGCTGGCAGCCAGCCAATTTTAATCTCCACCTCTGCGCACGCGCAGTGGCGCCGGTCGGCTACCGGGTACCAAACCGGGACCGGTTCTCCGGTTTGCTGTAACTCTCCATTATATGCCACCGATGCACATGATTCATAGGCGAAAATAAGACAATAGACACTTTCAAAATGGCCGCCGTTGTCCCCGAAAACCCCCCCCGAAATTTTTTTCTGGGTACGGCCCTGGTTGTGAGCAGTCTTCTCTGGCCTGGTCAAATGTTACGACTAACGGCGGGGCGGGAACGCACGTTCAAGGAGCTAACAAATATCTATAGTATTGAGTTTGCTTTGAATGGTCATGTGACACAGAAATAGGGATGGAGTAACGAAATTCCACTGCATGCTCGTATCCCATCTTCATCACCAACCCTGTGTATCAAACGAGAGAAAACGATGACTCGCAATTTCTTTTGGCCAAATCATCACTGTGATGAGAGATGGCTTAAACACAGATTGTAGACAGGACAAAACCAAGAAACAAGTGGAATGCTGGCCAAAGCCACTATAGCCCACTGCAACTCAAGAAAGTAGGGCAAGGGAAAGGAAAGCCAGGGAGGGGGAAGCAGACAGAACACTGAAGAGAGGGGGAAACCTCCTCCCTTCTTTAGCGTTCAGTCTGCTTGCTCTTCCCCAGCCTTCCTTTCCCTCGCCCTACCTTCTTGGGTTGCAACGGACTATAGGCATGATGTCCTTGAGCATCCGCCAACTTTCTGGCTTTGGTCTACACGATTCTGATTGTACAAGTTCTGGTCCCACTTGTGCAGGAACTTGTGCCACGAACACCAATCCTGTTTAATGGCGATAGAAATTGAGGTTTTGCACAAGCCCTTGTGCTGTCTGCCCTTCATTCTATCTCAATGTGGACCGCAGTGGAGCTTGCAGGCAGAAACTTGTAGCTTTGCGTGCCTCCAGTGTACAAACGTGACTGTGCAGGGGAAGCACTTTTAAAGCTACGAGGTTGCACCTACCATGGTTCACATTAACTTGTAAACAAAACCTACAGTAAATGTTTGCAAAATATTCTCATCTTTCACCTTCTCAGAAAGAGCTGGAGGAAAAAGCGGCGGAGAGTGCTCGCAAGGCCGAAGCAAAGCGTGTGCAGAAAATTCTCGAGCAGAGAAAGTAAGTGAAAATTAGTCTTCTCATTTAAAAAAAACCCAGGATATTGGCTAAAAATTTTACTAATTGTGTATCACTTAGTGCGACACAAGTGCACTAGCATGATGAGCAAGATGCTTCATTTCATTGCGAAATTGAGTGAATTTTTTTCTTCTTTTTTGGAAAGCTTGCTTAGCTGATCGCAATATGTGTCGTTTCCAGGGGCACTGAATCTAAACTTAAAACATACCTCTCATTTTCATAAATAAGCAACATGATAAACTCTATCCGCTAGTGACAATCGCACGCTTGTATATCAAACAGATGGCTGTATTTCTCGTTTTAAATGTTTAATTCTGGCGAGCGCTTCAAAATGGGCCATCGAAGAGCATGGTGCGTCTTGGGATGTCCGTCGCATCCGCAAAGTCATCGGCCTCCCAGTGGTTAAGCGTACCATAGTTATGAGCGTTGACACTTGGTGGCATTGACGTGTTACTACCTCGCTTATTCAGAGTGCCCAAGGGATGCAAAATATCACCGGGAGATTGCGGAGCAAGCGGAGTTGTGTACGCTCTCAAAACACGTAGTACGTCGTCTGCCCCGCGACTTGGCCGATATGGCGACATCTGTTTTGGGCGCGAGCTTGCTGTTCTTTGAACGGGATGACATTTATGAGGCGGCTAAGGTGCCTCTGTTATCTCGCACGAGGAGAGATACTGGTAGATTTCCTACCTGATGTAGTCTAAGGTGACGGCACAATCATCTGACATCGGTAGGATGAGGCAACTGCTGCTTACCTGATTTACCATCGACTGATCACAACGACCAGACTCTTCGAGGGCGTCAACTTCACGAATAAACAAACATTGATTTGAAGGCGCCACGCCAGTTGGCATCCTTCATTTATTAAACAAGCAGGGAAGCGGGCAGCACGGCGGTGGCATCACACGAGTATTTCATGCAGCGTATCACATCGATAGTGGTGTGACTGCAGCATTGTCATGCCACTGCAAAGGATTGCGTACACCACAACGATTTTGCGACATTCCTTGTCACAAGGGCAAACACTAAACGCACGAAGGGAAGGCACCGGCGTAGAGGAAGCTTGCGCCGGTCTCGACAAGACGTGATTTTCCAAGCGAAGGCACAGAGCACAGAGAACACGAGTGTACAATTTTCACATCGTCGCAGAAACTACCACGAGAAAATGCTCGCATCGCCACAAGTTTGCTACGCAACTTGTCTCAATGGCGAACACTAAACAAATAAAGAGAAGCGATCGGCACTGCTTTCGTAGGTCTTGTCCAACGAGACTTACGGGATCATCCAGGAGACGGTCAAGAGTGACTAAGTTGAGTGGTGGACAATCGCAGAATTCTCAGATCGTGCCACAGAAACTACCGCGCACAAATGTGGATACCGACACAGCTCTGCGACGTAAACCTGGGTCACTTCGAGAGGTCGGCGTCCCTCGGCGCGAACGACTTTGAAAGCAGAAGCAGAGTGCGCCACGTTGAAAAATATAGTTCATCAGCCCCCGACGTCGGTGACGTCAAAGAATGAGTGGAAGCGATCGGCTGGCAGAGTGAATCCAAGGTGGCCAACTGTGCTTTGGCTTTCTTTACCAAACCTTCGGTATTACGTTCTGCCCTGGGTAATCTGTACTAGCGAGTGTACTTCCCATATAGTGGCGCTACCATCGGAGGCCGATGCCGTCACGACATTCCATTGAAGTTTCGTAACCAACAGCCAGGTGGTTTTTGGTAATCGTTTAATTCAGATTAAAATATGTTTTCTCGCGTTTTCCAATGAAAGATTGGTGTTTCTGAGGTTCTACTGCTGCCTACATCATGTTGAAGCAAAGAAATGAGCTCCAGAGTTTTGTTTCCGTACCCTTTTAAGGCCATGCGTCTAAAGGGACACAGACACCTCACAAAACTTTTTTGACAGGCGATTTACTATGGTGTCAAAATACCTTGCTACAAAGTCACATATATTTATAATAGTCAAAAAACACAACTGCTCGAAACTGGAGTGGGGAAGAAGAAAAACATATAGAAAAGGAGAAAGTTACCGGAAGTCGTGTGGCTGTGCAACTTTTTTTTTTTCCCATCTACGTATATTCGCAGCTTTTTAGAAGCCACAAAAAATGGGCATCACATTTTTTGTCTATTTCTAGTATTGACTGTGTGCCTTGGATGACCCACGACTTTGATTATCTTTGGTGGTTGTGTCTAAACCACAGAAAACGACACGTAACCACGTAAGACAGAGTGAGCGCGACTCAAACCGGCCAGTTCTTGATCGGCGGTTTTCGGGTGGAAAGAAAACTAATTTCGGGCCGCAAATTGTGTTCGGGGCAGTTGGGCTCTCGTATGTCATGTATAAAAATAAAAACCTTGGCAAGCATAAATACCCTGACAGTGTTCCTTTTAGCTTGAGGCTGAACGAACGAACACGAGCACTCTGTCGTCGTTCGGATCGTGATCGGGTGCGACGAAGTGCCCAAGCATCCGGCAGCTGAGTGGGCTTTGTTCTCTTCCAGGGCATTGGAGGGATACGAGGAGTCTGAGTGGTGTTCCATGTCGCAGCTGGAGCAAGACCTACAGAACATCGAAGCTCACCTGGACACGCAATTCGGCGAAGGCAGCGCCGACAGCCAAGCATGCCAGCAGGGTAATCGGGGTTTGGCCAGTCTTTTCGAAGAGAGGCCAGACAGACACCCAAAAAGATTGCGGTCAGGTCGACGCCTCGTTTAGTTACGTGTGGCAAACTGTGCTCTCTATTGAGCACATTTTTTCATACTTGCGCGTATGTTTAGAGGCAGCAGGAAGTTAGGGTTCACCAACGGCCCGGCAGCTTGTGGTGCGGCACAGCATAGCCTTACAAAACACTCGTCACTTCATTCCCCGGCTACCAGCTAGAGCTCTCCTTCCCTTTCTCTTTAAGTGTTGAAAGTGTGTTTGAAGCGGATGACAATGTGTGAGAAGAGTGCCAGCAGTAAAACTAGATTTCACTTTCGTCTGCGTTGAGGTCAACTTTGGGGACCTTAGGAGAGTCGATCTTGTTGCATCATGCGACGAGTTTCTTAGTAATGAAAAAGGCGGAATGTCTTACAAAAAGTTTTGCAAAGTTAGAGGGCTTCTGAAAAATGTTTTACTCGATGCTCGTTTTGTTTTTTAGCGGACGGTGCCGATGCCGAAAGCAGCGAGTCCGAGGACGACGAGCTTTATTGCGTTGCCTGTGACAAGTGCTTCAAGTCGGATAAAGCGTAAGTTTCTGACCCTGCGTAAAATGCCACTCCTGTCTAAAAAGGCGCTGAAATGCCAACCTATAGAATCATCATCTAACGGGAAGGAAACCAGTTACCAGTTTCTCACTCCCCATTTTCCTTTCAGGCTGCTTGTTAGTTAACCCTAAGAAGCTTCTGTAACATTGAGTCAAGTAGAAGAGAATTGCAGTTCTGCGTAGTCTTAACCCCTTTACTCGGGTGCGCACCTTTGGACGCACCTCTATTTTGACCCCAAAATGGGGAGCGCATCTAAAGGGGCACAACACCTCTTTAGAACGGAGGGAGCGTGCAGTGAAATGCGTGGCATTTTTTTGACGGAGAACATAGGTGCCACCATCTATCTAACATGGTGCCAAACACGTTTATGTTTATTAGCGTTCCCTGGCTGGCGAAAAATAAATTGCATTGGTAGGAAATCTTTGTTCCTGTTCTCGTTCTCGATCAGAGATGCTTGGAAGTGGTGGAAAGCTCCGATGGACACGCAAATTGCGGCATTGATTCAGCGGGGCCACTATGGCCCAGACATGAGCACACGCTCGGGGATAGCGAAAACTCAGGAGTACTCACGAGCCAAGTCTGAAAATATATTTTTCTCCAGACCCACTTATGAAAACAGCTGTATTCATGACCTAACATACAAAATCGGGTGTTTAAAAAAAAAAAAAAAAAAAAAAAGTCTCCCCCCTCGTACCTGAACACGAGAACCAACATGTTATTCCTTCGCACAAGAAAAAAATTATAATTTTTAGTGCAACAACTGTTTGTCTCGTACGATTTTTTTTTGGGTGTGTGTGTGCAAATCTTTTTATGGCATGGTCCCACACCCAAAATTTACTCCCCACTTAAGGGGTCAAAGAAGGAGCATGCACTACTACATCGTGGGTTGCAAATTTCCCATATGTAGTGGCTTCAAACCTCAAATCACTAATGTTCACATAAACTCGCAAATTTAAAAAAAAAAAAAAATAAAAAATAAAAAAAAAATTATACTGGAATTACTTTATCAAACATATCTTGGTTCGGTTTACCTGCAGCGGAGAGGAGTAGGGCATTGCACTTCCGGTATGTGTATCGAGGTACGACCGGAAGCCCTGCACTTTTCTGCATCGGTGAATCTATGAAGCCTTTGCAGATTATGAATCATTTTCAAGACTGCAACCACCTTCATTCAGCACCTAACCCGTTTCACACACGTTTACACATCAACGTATAATACCGCCACGTTGCACAGACTACGGGGTTCTGAACCGCAACACTGATTGCGGTGCCTCCCTACCTCCAGGTTCGAGAACCACGAGAAGTCCAAGAAGCACCGCGAAAACGTGCAGTTCCTCAAGGAGGCCATGGAGGAGGAGGAGGCCCAGCTCTCCAGGCAGGAGGAGAACAACGCAGAGCCCGCCGTGGACGCCAACGTCAAGAAAAAAAACCAAAAGGGCGCTAAGAAATAAATTCAGTTGCAAAGATTGACCCGGCGACAGATCGCAGCCCCATTCGGGAGTTTTAGCAGACGCTTCCGACAGCCCCGACGACGACGCGATGCCTGCGCAAGGGTGCTGGCAGAGTGTCGAGCACCCCAACTGTAGGAAATGTGGTATCTGAGATTCCACGCCTCTAGTGTCCTGTTTGTACCGCAGTAATACGTCAAAATGGAGGATGTATCGATCCCAAGTCTATTCATCTGAAACAAAACAAGATACTCCGGGACTTGCAAAGAAAAAAAGGTCAGACGCTACTTTTAGGTTTTCAAGCTTCTTTTTCTTGTTAATTCTTAACTACCTTCATGTTTTGCGAGTGCAGTGTAGTAGTTTTGCCAATGACGCAAAGTGACGAGAATGCACGTGCACATTGACGAACAAGCTGCAATTCAGCAGTGTCTCAATAGTCGCATTGCAGGGCACTTACCCGACGTGTTTGTCAGTCGTCGCAGGTTGGTATTTTGTTGGGCACACCTCATGCGAGAAAGCTACAACATTCACTCTTTGAGCCGAGTCTCCCCGACTCGCACAGATACTACTTATGCAGTTAGAGGGGCAGTGCAACGATTTTAACGTTGAAAGAATTTGCAGCTCATATTAGAGCGCAGCTCTTAGGCGCCAGTTTCCGGCTTGAGCAGCGTGGCGTCGGTCCGTACCTTCCCGTCCTCCTCCTCATGAGCTGCGCTCTAATTCGGCATTACAGGGAATTGTAAACGTCTCATTTTTTTTATGTGGTTTATCTAGGCACAAGTGAGAAAAAATGTGCTACCTTCCTCTGAAAAACTACTATGCTACTGTGTGATCGCAAAGGAAAAAACTAATTATTTGCCAATCTGCAGCCACAAGTGGTGCTTACGGGAACTACGGCGTCATGTCACCAGAGCGCACGCGAAAGGCAACAAAACCAGTCCCCCTTTGACTTGAAAGAAACACACAAGAGGACAAAACAGACGACGCAGCTTTCGCCTCTTGTGTGTTTCTTTCGTTTTAAGTCAATGTAGATCACCAACGCGCTCAAGTCTTAACAGTCCACCTTTCACTTCTACACTCACCGTCAGCCCCGCGGCAAACCGACTTTTTTCTAGATAGCTCGCCACGACCCCCGGCGATGCTAATCCTTGAAAAGTCGACAATCCCAGAGGGGGCTCTGGAGGCAAAAACCCGACGGAACACCAGGTGGTCCCCCCATGAAATCGCTTGAAAGACGACGTGAAAGTTGAGGGGTGCTTTGTCCTTCGATTTGTTTCGTTTTTTAATATAAAAGGTAGCGCACGCAAGAGAGAATGATTCTGTGTTCATTCTATAGGCGGCACATTAGTTTCCGCAATTAATTGGAAGTCCAAAACTTGTTGCACTGTCCCTTTAAATGCTTCCACGAAATTGATCCATTTGTGTTTTGTGATAACCGACAGCCAAATCCAAACACAAGAAAGAAGTTGATGTCCTGCTACAGTACAATCCGCTTGTAACTATGATGAGAAAACGAGAAAATTCCGCTGTTATGACCGATTATCGTATCTGGACTAGAAACTCTAGAAACTGATCATTATAAGTGGTACATCGTTTTATCTGGTATTGTTACAAGTGGATTGCACTGCACTCTTACCAGCTTCAAGTGAGAGACAAGTCTGGTACATTGGCACTCGGAACGTTAAATACATGCACGCCGTTACGGATTCTTGGGACCTCTCCTACGGTCTATCCTTCCCAGGAAGAACTTCCTGGGGAAACGGTCGCTATTTACACTGGCGGCACAGTCGATGTGATGCAGGTGAAATTTATTGCAAAAACTATGCTCCCACCTTAGCGTACCTTCCCCACGACTCTTCTTCACTTATGCCGCTGTCTGTTCTTCATGTTCTGTCTCCTGGCCTTTCCCGGCCTCTGGTTCTGCGGAAAAATCGAGGTACAACTGTGAGAATCATGGCCTCCGAAATGTTTCCCGCACTCTGCACCGGCCTTTCCAAATGCTCAGCTGCCCAACAGAAAAAGCGAGCTGGGTCAGTTTTCTAGATCTTCGCATGCGGCGCTTAGAACCAAACCAGAAACAAACAGAATTGCCTCAAACCGTGCTGTCAAGTGTGAGCCCTCGGCATGAAGCTTGCATCTTCACGATTCTCATCATTAGGATAGAGAAAGGTAAGTCGATATCTGGCGATTCTTAATTTTTATTCGCTGCTCCGCTCTTTGCGCTGTATTGCTGGCCGATACCTCGGAATACAAGATCGGAAGATGAGGAAGCCAGCTGGACTTAAGACATGGTTTTCCCATCGTCGGAGAGCCAGCCGGACCAGTGGCACACACCATGTCTTCAATGGACAAGGTGGTCGTGCTGCTAAGTTACAAGCTTGACCGCAAGCTAGAAAACTTCAGAGCCCACTCTCACGAAGACAGTCGCCTGGCCAACACTGGTACCAACCCTAGGGCCCCACAACAGGGGTGCTAAACTCCCTGCGTCGCTGGAATTCGGGCGACTCGTCTGCAAACCGTACACGAAGGAAGCCCTCGCCAGGCGCTCGAGACCGGCCTGCTAGAAATCGGCAGCCCACGACAGCCCCACGAAGATCACCGTCGCAAAGACTGCTGCAAGCCTAACAAATTTCGCTCTCTTCAACCGCAACATCAACCCCCCCCCCCCCCCCCCCCCCCCCCCCAACCTCATCCACAAGCTCCTATTAAACCATCATCACTTCTTTTAAAAGTTCATCTGTGCAGTACAATCTCACCATTGTTGGACGCGGCGCCGTGGGCCTTCATAGTATCGACCCCAATGCGGCGCCGCGATTCCCCCGAGCCAAAATAAATCACTATCACTATTTAGTGCAAATCTATATTTTGACTCGCCATCCTGATTTCGATTGGCACGACTTCTTATATCTAACTGAAATGACTACACGCGCAGTTTGAACACATTATCGTGGGCATTTGTTCTACACCCTTCGTGCTTTGAAAAGATGAACTTTCAAATTTCTACTAAGTGCTTGTCAAAGGTCTGTGTGCTGCGGCAAGAGGCGGGGAGCACATTTAGCGCTGCTCTGAAGTTCCGTAGACCGAGGATAATGATGACAATGATAATTCATGGCTATTTGTGTTGTTTGGTTTGGTTGCAAGTGCCACCAAGCGCCCCGCAGTAAAAGTCTCTACCGCGCGAATGCAATGGCCGGAGGAGCGCAGCCAACTTGTAAAAAATCTCGGTAGCCATGGTGAGAACATGACAAATGTTGTGAATCGACACAGTCTTCGACTTTATGACTTCTCAGAGTTCACGCACTGCAAAAGGATGTGTGCGCCGCACACATTTTAACCTCACTACAGCTTTGTGGTGGGCTACGTGATGCTAAGCCAACACAGCACCAACGACCACTCATTTCTAGGAGCTTTACTGTCAGTCCAGTACTGTGAAGACTGCAAGAAGCATAACATGGAAGTACCACTGCGGTGCTGCAGAGATCTTGCCTATAACACGGGATCGGAAAACGCAGCGAGAAGAAACTATGAAAAGAGTGGGTTGCAGTATTAAATAAATAAATAAAATAAATAAATTGTGCTCTGCCAAGAGAACTGTCTGCTATATTTACGACAGTGAAACACTGAAACCCTAACATAAAATCGATAACATGTTCAAATATTGCACCTAATCTCACTGTCTACTTCCCCTGCTCCCATAGGCTTTTTTAATAAGCTTTGTCATTTTTGTCTACTTCCACGAATATACCTACGAACATCTTTTACTGAACCCTAATCAACGTAACTCAGCGCTCCTTTTCTAGAGTTTCGTTCTTTTGCCCGTTTCGAGGATCTCTCTGTCGTGCTAGCAAAAGAGGTCACCTTCTTGCCGGGAGCGGTGTTGTGCTTCTTGCGGCTGAAACCGCCCATGTCTGCGGAGCTGCTGGCCGTGTTAAACTTGGACCGCTTCCGCTGACCTCCGTAGCCATACTTCTTGTCCTTGTACTGCTTCTTCAGCTGTGACCTGGAAGCCATACACAAGTCCAGAGTGGGTCAAGCAAACCACCGGTGACACTTCCGTGTGATTTATATTTCAGTCAGTTTATGCTTGTTAAGGAAGACATCTTCAATGCTTTAGAAGTAGGGTTTCACGCTTTCGGGGTTAGCTTTCTTCTCGTTTGGGGATGCTTCTTTGGGTTTATTTTTTCCCACAGATAAAGTGTTTTATGGCATAAATCTTTGGTGTTGGGCAAAAATTCGGGGTTTATCGGGGTATATGTTGAAGACAACAGGACACGGGGATTGGAATGCTTGGGGATAATCCGCCTGACCCAAACACTGAAAAAGCATCCCTTACCGAAAAGAGATGACCGCCTTCTAAACAAACTTAAATTACCGCTTAAATTACTGCATTTCATGCATTATTAGACCCAGGGACCCCGGAACCGGGGGGGCAACGGGGGCTCGAGCACCCGCTGACATTTTCCAGGGGGTGCTGGGCAATATTACGAGCCCCCGTGCGTTTGGCTCGAGGCGTACTTAACAATGCCTGCACACCCCTCCCCACTGTTGCCGTTGTCGCTCAGCTCAGCCAAGCCACGTACTTGGCTCTGTTTTTGCCGGGGTTTACTTCGAATAATGGCACGACATTCGCCCACGAAATTCTAGAAAAAAAATAACGAAAAAAACAAAAACGAAGTAAAGCAAAGTGTTAGTAAATAGCGGACAACGCAGGCAGCTTCAAAAAAAAAAAAAAAAATGGAGGGAGTAAAAAAAAAAAAAGAAGAAAAAGAGCCGGCGCCTGCGGCTTGCATAGCAGCACAGTCAGGGAATTGTGCCCTCCCACACTCCACTCGCGTGTTGGCCAAGCGGGGGAACGCGCAGCGCACTGTTTTTGTCCACCCAGCTAGCCGGCTTCTTCGGTTTGCTTCTATTTCGGGCAATGACGTTTCCCCAAAAAAGTACAAAAATCTTTTCCTAGCTATTTCTTTTTTCAACTGCGTTTTTGTTGTTGTGTTTCTTGTTGTTTTGGGGGTCTGAGTAACCGCGAAGGTCGGGTAATTGCTTCCGTGTGGAGAGCCGATCGCGGGGTGGGGAGACGGTCTGCGCGAGAAGAAAGCCCTTCTTGAACGGGGGGGACTGCCTACAGATGGGGGTAGCAAGTTGAGGGGAAAAAGTTTCCCAAACTCCCAAGGCAAGAGGAGGCCTTAGCAAGCGACACAGTTTGTTAGGGGGGACATCGCACTGCAGTCTGTGTTGAAGCGCTGCTACCACGGTGGTCGTCGGAGACATCAAAGAATCGCGGCATTCTCGCCTGCATTTCTGTGTCTGGTTTCCGAAACACCATTTGGTTCTTGCCGAGCCAGCCTGCTATGTTCAGGCGGGCACCCTATTATACGCCCAGAGAATTTTACACTATTTTCAAAGACGACCATGAAAACGGGAAACATGCTGAAAAAAAAAGGCATCGCCAGTGAAGCTGCTGGAACGAGAAGGACGTTTTTTTCCTCGTCTCTAGCAGCTCATCTGCTTCCTCTTCCCCAGCCCTCCTTCTCCTCGCCCTGTCATTCCACTGAAACTGCAGTTGTAGATCTGTCACTGAAATCCGCGGACGGTTTCTTCGGACATCTGAACATCAGAGGATGTGTTTTTTTCAACGAGTGCAACACTAAAAAAAAAAAAAAAAAAAAAACAGTATTTAAAGTTTTACACGTTTAATCATTATGGCGACCAAGAGGACGCTCCTTGATACGTGGTTGCGGGGACCCAAGAAATTGGCAGTTTGTCAGGGGAAGCAGCCACCGGAAATATCCAAAAATATCGGCACGGCAGCAGCGGACCGTACCGTACCAAGAGTCACCCAGAATTTACGAAAATCTGGTAGGTTTTGTTTCAGTTTTGTGTGTGTGCATGCGTAGCAAATCAAGAGGGGATTGTGAAATCTTAGATCGCATGAACTGCATTGCAGGGAGTCCAGGGAGTTCACGATGTTTCTTTGCCCCTATGAAATAACCGCATAAAAGAGTTTTGCAATATATTGCGAAGGTATTTAGCACACAGACGTAGTTAGATAGTAGAAGTAATCAGTGAAATTTTATAAAGTTAGTTCACGTAAACAAAAAAAAATTTTTTTTTTTTTAATTTTGCGTGTAAACACCAAATATTTCAAGCCTCTGTGGCGTTAAGTCTGGCGAAATGAAGGCAATGTTATGTATTATTGTATTTTATTTTTATTCAGCTCATTTTTCTCAGTCATAATAGACGCCTCCGTTGCCCCAAAACGTATTTGATAGTTTCGCGAAAAAGAGATTCCGCGGAAATTTGCCCATAGAAAAATGCTTCTTTTCTTTCACTAAAAAGGTTTATCTCTTCATACTTCAAAGAAAATAAAAATGAATCACCATTTTTGGGCACCTCTGTACTAAATCGTAGCCCGCTACGTTAGTAAGCCAATCTGCGCGGTCACTTCAAACTTGCTAACGAAACATCGTACGTGAACTCCCGGTGAAGTAGGTATGTCAGATCGTCTGACCGCTTTAGGTGGGCATTTGGTTTTAAAAGTCAAATTTGGGGGTTTTACATGCCAACCCAACGACGAGCATGTGGCACGCCCCAGCGGAGGACTGAGGATTAATTTGGACCACCTGGGGATCTTTTGAAGTGCATCCAAAAGCTCGGGCGCCTTTTCTGCAATAAGCCTCCGTCAGATTGAGGGAATCCGAACCCACCACCCGGGGATCCATAGGCCGGCGCTTTGCCTCGGATCCACGGAGACGGCTGGCTTTTGGATTTAATTTCCAAAAGCATTGCATTGTGGTGATGTGTTCTAAAGAAAGTCGCATTTCTCTTAATGTATAAAAATAATTGTATGTTAACATTTCATTGCCTTGTGACGAGAATTTTGGTTAATGTAGGGACACACGGTATACGAAATGATAATTAACCTTCATAAACAGTGAAATCTTGGTAATAACTATTCTTTTTTTTCAATTTTAATTACCCCCTTCCCCCTTCTCTTTCTCTCTCTCTCTCTCTCTCTCTCTCTCTCTCTCTCTCTCTCTCTCTCTCTCTCTCTCCCCCCCCCCCCCCCCACACACACACACACACACACACACACACACACACACACACACACACACACACACACACACACACACACACACACACACACACACACACACACACACTTCACCCTTTATTTCGACCGCCAGCCCCCCCACGTAAAATACACTTCCGGGGTCGCTGATTAGACCATAGAGAAAGGTCGAGCCTGCCAATGATTTTATATTCTTGGTTTCCGAAGAAATCGCAGCCACCATGAAAGACTGGTTTGCGCTTGCTGCTGCGAGACGTCACAACTATGACATTTCATCGTAAGTCTTTTGCATGTTATGTTCACAAATTCCTGGGACAAAACAATGCATGCTGTCAGAGGGGTGCTACTGGCATCTCACTTTGTGAGGGACTTGCGACTCTGCCCAGGAACAGGTGCCGTCCCCCCTTTCCCACGTTGAGGTCCCCCTTTCCGTCCCGTGTTCTCCAGGAAGTCCAAAGATCCTTGTCCTGAAAGCGCACGGATTACCAGCACTTTTAATGTGAAACGTTCATTGGCTAGGTGTATGGCATTTCGTGAAGCCCGGATAAAAGCATGGCCGTGAGGCTCAGCACTGATTGGTTGATGGCGAGAGAGGAGTGAGGTGCTCGACGTTGATTGGTTAACGGGGAGGTTATGCGACCAGTGGAGTAGGCGAGGAGGAACTTGTCCACCTGTGCGCGTAGCAGGAGAGGAGTTCGAAAGTATGGAAGGCTCTGGAAGATCGACAGATTTCCAAGTCTGATTAGCCGTAGTATCGCTTCGTCCTAAAAACAACTATGGAGTGCACATATGCTACGAGTTATATCTGATGAAGAGTGCCGTGAGTGTAGGCGTCTGGAAATTTATAATAGTATCGCTGAATGATTGAGATGCTAAAATGTTTCATATACAGTAAGACCTCGTTATAACAAAGTTGAAGGAGCGGTCATAATTATTTCGTTATAACCATTAGTTTGCTATAGCCAATGTCCATTTCTTCCCACTATTAGAAAGCAAGGGGAATTATGATTACTTTGTTATATCCATAAGTTTGTTATATCCCATTTTGTTATAACGAGGTTTTACTGTATGCAATGCAATTATCTAGCAATTTGCAATTAACTTTTTTAGACATACAGTAGACAGCACAGACAATTGACGATCGATTGACTGACAATTATAATCCTGGAACATTTTCAGTGCCAAGCTGTCTCAACAAAACCCTAGAGCAGTTTCATACCTAAATGTGTGTATCTGTCACTTTCAGGCATGGTGGTAGTGCAGAGTGACGATTGAATTCTTTGCCTACAAAATAATGGACTCACAATAAAAATTATTTCTACACATATCCGGCATCAATTTAATGCAATTACCGATAAGATCGCACATAGCAACTTTACCGGGGTATTTGACTGCCACAAATCGTGCGGTATGACACTGCTCTACCTCTGTTGCCCATGCACAGTCATTTTGCAAGTCACCACCCCCTAATCACAAATAGAAATATATTGTCAGCACAAATACCACGCGAGAGAAAATTAACGTAAAAATATGCATGTCAAACCAATAAGACACACAAGTGCTAAAAATTTCCTAGTTTCCTTATTCACTTACTGCGAAATCCCGTAAGAATGTTAACCCGGAACCGATACTGCAGATTACAGACGCAGCAGATTTGTGTTTCATGGTGTGACAAACAAGCGAGAAACCGCCACAAACTTGCATATCGCGCGGAACCGATATCGGCCACGCAGACCGCGGACAAAAGTCCGACGGCACCTAAGCACTTCTTATGAGTTGTGAATGCGAAAGCATGAATGTTATTCTTCCGCTCCCTTAGTTCGTCTGCGGTGTACTGCCGGGGACGGCCACGTTTCGCTACTGCTGAGGTAGTGGCCGATGGTTGAGCGCGCGCTCTCGTGAAGTGGCCGTGCCGAGCTCGGCCGTGCAGCCCTTCTGGAGTTTGCCCGCACGGGCTTTGCGGCCAGCTGCTCCCTCTTACCAGCGGCCGGGTCGCTACGTGCGCTGCGCCACCAAGGAGAGGACTTCTCTGGTGGCATTTTTTGGAACTACGCTGCGCAAGAGCCAATGGGAGCCTCCTTCCTTGATGACATATGCCAGCCAATGGGAGCATATATATCAAATTGCGGCTTCACTTTGCTCCATTGGGACAGGGGATTTTGGGTGCCGTTTAGCGCAGCGTCAAAGCTGATGACATGGGTTCACTCCTCGGGACAGTTAACGCTTTTGCATTAAAAAATGCAGAAATCCGCCCTAAACAGGAACAGATACCGCAGATTGCAGACGCAGAAGATCCGCATGTCATGGTGCAATGAACACGCGGGAACCTGCTACAAACTCGCCTGCCAGACGTTTCGGTACCGCAGACTGCGCGGTAGACATGATTCCCGTCGGACATTGCGTGATATCCGACGAAAATTGTGAGTGGCCGATGTTCCAGAAATTTTATGTTATAGATATTTAGCAAAAGAAAACCCCCAAAAACGGGATAGGCTAGCTTTTGGGGGAGGGTTTTCACACGGGACTTCACAGAATACCTACTCATAAAAAATAAATGCTGACTAACCCCAAGTAATGAGACAACCCAACGAAAACATCAGGTCACCAATGATCAAATGCGCGACGAAATGCCGAGCACCCACCTTTCTTGAACTTCTTGAGGTTGTCCATCATCTCTCGTTTCTCCTTCTGCCGCTTCTGCAGCACTTCGACTTGAACCTGACAGACGACAGGAATTGAGCGATTAAAGGGGGGTGTCCCGCATCCACACTGCACAACGTGGGCTTTCTGCCTACCTTCTTGCCAAACTTCTTCAGCTCCCGCAGCTTGCGTGCCTTCTCGGACCTCTCCAGCGCTGTCTTTTTACTCAGCAGCTTTTCCCTGACCTACAAAACCAAACAAGCTTTAATGACTACTAGCTCAGTGCAATCACTCATTTTTCAGCAGAAAGATCCCAGGGTGACATCTACATAACCGTAACGTATGCTGAAACATTGGGACAATTTGACCTGAGGCTGGCAAAAAGCAGCCAATCTTCCTTTGAAAATGGTAGCCGACCGTTGTCTCGAAGACTTCAGTACATTGAGAGTTTGTTCTAAAGCTTGTTTTAAAGCCTCTTGCACTGCCCAGACTTTTGCCACTGCATAGTATGAACCGTTACACAGTGAACCGCGGCAAGCCCGGAGACAACCGGAAAATTAAAACATAACAAGTCATCTCACCGAGAAAGCGGCTAGCGTCCAATCGATCTCCAAAACATTCACTTCCCCGAATCGCAACTTGCACGTGGGTACGGAGCTCGGAACGAGCCTGCGACCGGCGTATTTAGCGTCCCGTACCGTCCACGCATCAGAAGTGGTTTCAAAGTGGCAACAAAGTATTTCGCGGGCACCGGTGCATCATGCTGTCAGGTGTCACGATCCTGCAGTTGGTCACAGAAGTTCCGGCAAAAAAAAAAAAGAGCGGATATACAAGCATTGCTCTCCTTGAGGCATAACTCGTAGACGCTCAAGCTGCTGTAGTCCAGCGACCGAAAGCAAAGCAGACGTCTGCTGCATCAACCTCTGCTGGTGTGCTATCGCCAAGATTGCAGCGAGCAACATTGTAACACGTTTACGACTTCATCACGTGGAACACGAAGAACCACGTTTGAGCACATGGCAAACACGCCGGTCAGACACAGGCTCCTGACGCATAACATTCGGAGATACACCGGCTCAGCGACATTTACGGAGTGCCTCATCGGTGCCTGCACTTACCTTGGTCATGTGATCGTCGGACTTCGCCATCTGCGCGAAGTAGTCGTCCGGCCGCTTGGTTGGGACGCCCAACTGGTGTAGTCGCGGGATCCCACTCAGAACGGCCGCCTGGGCTTGCCTGTAGCTGTCGCACCGCAGAAACAAGAATGTTCAAACATCGTTATATTGGCAGACGGCTTTCTGTGGCTAAGCAGTCAAAGCTATGGGTACCAACGCACGTACAGCTTGACCGCCCACCAAGACTGTGCACGAGCACTCCCCACTTCTGAAATGCCACACAAAGTTGTCCACAAGTATAAAATCGAGTATGGGACACATAAAAGGTATTTGACACAAAGTATGAAGCCCTATTCATTGGTTTGTGAAATCAAAGAATGTTTATTATTGCAACAAGATATTGATAGCGTGTCAAGGTGGGACTCATCTAGTAATTTGTTTCTGAACCCACAAAAGACGAAAATTATTTCATTGTCCAGGAAGCACGATCAGATAGGTTTTCAATACACACTTCCCTGTGCAGCAGCCATACAGTGTGTTTCTACCATGCGTGACCTTGACGTTCTTGTTGATGGCTGTCTCACATTTAAAGACTATGCCACTTCAATAGTGGGCACTTCCCTACACAAACTGGGGCCAATTTCACGAATGACGCGCAACGTTTCGAGTTTTACATGTTTGATATATTTAGTTTGTTCCTTGGTTCCCTCAAAACTTGAAATCAGCACCGTAGCATGGAACTCTGTGTTCTAATCAGAGCAATGAAATTGAGCGTGTTCAGAAGCACCTGGTGTAAACAGTTTATGATAGATACTTTCATCGTAGCTGTTACTATAATTATGATTCGCTTGTGAACAACTTCGACTTAGAAGAGCTATCTAAATAACGTACCATTTGCCATGTGATCTTCTTATATAAATTAATTTCTGGTCAAATCGATAGCATATACCTTTTGTCATCTGTGAACTTTCACGTACCAATCCAAAGTAGTAGATTGATCTTACCATTTTATCCGAATAACCCATATCATTCCTCACCCATGTCTAGAATTACGCACTTGAATAATGAACTTTATGATGCCGATTTGGACCTATATGCACCCAATCTCTTATCAATGCTGAAAAGACCAGTCTTTTATATGTATTCGGTTTGTTTTTAGTGCAGGGCTTTGTTTTGCGTTTAGCATGCCATATACTCATTGTACAGAACTCTGATGTTCCTGTATTTTGTTTGTTTAGTTGGCTGTACTTTTAACATGAAGCTCATTTTTGTTCATAATCGGCCAATACGAAGGCCTTAATGGCTGTTTTTGGACACTACCAGAAAGTAAAGCATTATTATTATTATTATTATAACTGGAGGTTTTGTACTCCAAGTGATGAAAAAAGCACACTGGCAAAATGCGCTTCAAGTAAACTACAAGCACTTTTTCCAGTTCCAAGCTTCTTGTTGCCACCAGACACATCCAAAATCAAGAAGATAAATGCAACTGCATAACTTAACAAGCAAAAACAAGTACCTTAAAATATTGGAAAAGCACCTACCCCACTTCCAGTAAAAACAGGGTTTATCTTGACATGGGCACTTGTCCGAGTCAAATTATTAAAAGCCAAGATAGTGGCCAATAGAGAGCTCTGAAGGCAGGGTAATCAGTATCAAAGTAAAGCACATTTATTTTCACAAGATACCCCCGTCATCGGCGCTGGCGGTCTCGTGGCAATCGCAACAAGGCAAATGTTCTCGGAGCTGATGCCGGAGCTTTTGACGGGGTGGGCGCTTGACGTATAATTTGCAGAATTCCCAAGTGGGCGCTTGCACAAAGTGGGCGCTTCCGTGGTATCTTCCAGTACTCAGTATATCGCTCGAGAATAGAAGGCCTGCGGTGGTCGTCCGAGCGGCCCCGTTGATATCGTCAACCCTCTAATACCGCCGAACGAACTTGGGAAACATTCATGAAACTCGACTTTTGTTGTTTCCAGTGGAGCCACTGAATACTCCCGGTGTACCCAAACTTTGTTGGAAAATCTGCATTGCAGCACCGAAATAGATGGCTACAAAACGGTGGCCCTGTGCAGTCGAATTGAACAGAGGTGTGCAAATTTAACGGGATGTGCGTGCGATCGACCGAACTGGCTAGCCGTTGTCCTTTTGAGGACAAGATTATGAACTACAGATATAAAAGAAAACCCTAATGAAATAAAACAGACATGACGATGACCTGCCAACAAGCCAAGTTCATCGGCAGTTTATCGGCAGTCCTGTCTAGCAGACACTCTAGAATTCTGCATTCTGGGTGCACTTGGCGGCTTTATGGCACATCGTCACCCTAAAAATTAAACTTTTGTGCATAGTTCACACGTTGCACGGAGTAGTTTTCACAAAATTTGGTAGCAAGAGAAAAAAAATGTGTACTTCTTTGCTTTTAAAATGTGCGTATTTGATGAAATAAAGAAGAATGGATCCTGTGCAGACATACATGCATCCTAACGTACCACATTAAAAAGAAAGTAAGCAATACTCTGTGTGAAGCCATACTTTTGTTTACTACGATTCTGGAGTTTATAATGAAGGAAATTGCACGCTTCAGCAGGTCAGCGGCTCGAACTCACAAGGTCATCTCCCGCTTGAAGTCGTGGTGCACGGGGTCCTCGTCGGGCCCGGACACCACCTTGCCCTTCTTGTTCTTCTGGAGGTGGAGCTCCCCGTATTGCTGCTTCACCTCGGGTGTCAGGGGTGCCAGGGTGTTCACCATGCCCAGGGTCTCGATCCAATCGAGGTCCAGTTCCATCTCGGCCAACTTCTGTTTCAGGGCAGCCTGCGCAAACCAGAGACCTCCTTTACTAACGAGCCTGTTTGCAAAAGACTGATACAAAACAGGAAGGAAAAACAAGAAAAGAACAAAGTACAAAGATATGTGCCCCATCTTTTTCTTGTCTGTTTGTTCTGTTCAACATAAATTCTTTAAAGGGGTGCTCTAGCATTCTCTTCGTGGTCTCCGACTTCCCTGGAAATTTGCTAAAAAAAATCAACAAATGTCGCCGAAAAAGTATCCCAAGCATATGGCCAAAATTAACTTTTTTTTCGACAAGTTATTGGTTCATTATGTTTTTTAAACTGGATGTCTCTACTGGCAACAATGAAAAAGTGAAGTCAGCGGCAGGCAGGGGATCACTCTTCCGACTGTAGAATTCGTTCCTAACCGATTACAAGCAGTTTCATGTTGTCAAATCAGTGCTTTGGAAGCTCGCTCCAGTGCCCACGCAGCAGCACGAAACAAAGGCTCGGCATAGCAAATTTTCTCGACTGCCGCCGACATCATGGCGCTTCAAAGCGCGGATATCTCTGAATGTTGGTTTTGGCATCATTTTCATTTACCGATTTCACAAATAGCTATTGTGAATTTCGTCCGACAGGATGAGAACTTTAGGTAGGCATTCCAGCTGTATAGCCTCCAGCAACAAGCTTCTACCTTCAATTACACTTTTTTTTTTTTCAAATGATGCAGGCAGTAGCACTGCCCAAGCAGCGGAAGATGACAACAGGTATGATAGCAGGAGGTTTTTAAATGGGTCAAGAATTAGACATTCAACAAGCAATTACGGCAAGCAGTTGCCCTGTTCAAAGGTATTAGGAAAAAGAAAACAATTTTTGAAATAGCTTTGTTGTGGCAAAGTATGGGCGTATAACTTTGGAGCGATTTAATCTTGACGACCTGTATGGCACAGTCTGCATATCACGATCCTCGAGCGAAGCATAGCAGAAGGCAACGAGTGCATGTAGTAAGCCAAGTGTTTAAGGGGCTACGGAAACTAAATGTTTGCACTTATTTCTTTGTCTAGATGTGGTCTATGTTGTGCCGGCAGCCCAGAAACGCTAGTCTAGACTAGAGTTTCTAGGCTGCCAAGAGAAAAGTCAAGAAAACTAATATTAAAACGAGTTACCAATTTTGAAATTGTGCCTGGTAGCGGTTTGTGAAGTTCCGTTGGAATGCCATCCCATCACAAGTATCTAAGAAGCATCGCCAGTTCGTGGCAGTATAGTTTGCTCGTGGAGTTATGCAGTCCGGAATGTGACTCAGCAGAGAACGCTCACGCATCTACCACGTTGTATATGTTAGCACTTCCACAACGCTTCTGCAACGTGCATTCCACACCATCAAGAGCGCCGTTTTTTGCAGACGATAGCTAGGAGCTTAATCTGATGATGTGCAGACGATAGGCAGGAGCTTATCTGCCAAGCCAACCATACCACTTCCCCCCACCCCACCCCTTCCCACACCCCTCCAGGATGTGCAGTGAATAATAAATAAAATATAGGCACCCAGTGAATACCTTACACACAAAACTCAACTCTGTTACGTCACGGCACAGTGGTGGCGCGTCGAGCGCGCTTCCGGTCTGGGGTTGTGGGCGGAAATCCCCATGTGGAACTCGTGTTCCTGCGTTTTTTTTTTTTTTTTTAATTCAAACAAATACCTGCCTTCTTGTCAAAACGCCTCAACTGGGGCTGTACCAAAAGAGTCAAGAAAATTTTCATGTGCTCGGTTCATCCGAGAACGTGGATATGTGCCGTGAAAAGGGAAAACCAGACGCCGTCGGACCACAATTGCTTGGGCAGGAAGCACTTTAGGTTGAATTAACGGATACTCGTGGTCATCATATTTATTTGTTTTGTTCCAACATAAACGTGGAAAAACCTTCAAGTTGTACCGACCACCTGCGGATTACACTCAGTGCGTCTTCATGTCCAAATGGCCGCCTGATCATTGAACTGTCGTCTGCTCTTTCAAACATTTCTGCTTGTCGTCTGCTCTTCCAGACGACACCGGCCCGAGACCAAACGTTGGCCCGGTAATTGCGATATGAAGAAGTAAGTGCAGGCCTGAAAGAACTTAAGTTTGAAGGTTGATTGGGGTAAGCAGGCTCGATGTAAACAGTAGATACAAGGAGATGTTGATTTAAATTGTTACCAGTGGCCATCACCAACTTGTTATGCCTGATTCACTTAGTCCGATTCTGCTTGCGATTTTTAGTATCGACGTCGACCATCTCAGCAATGGTCCACGCTTTTGCAGCCCGAGCTACGTCACGACTGAAAATAGCGAGCAGTGTCTCACCATGCCAATCAGGCTTTAGCGCTCATTTTGCGGCATCCACGCGGATTGAATCGCCGCATGTAACATTATTCACGTAACGTTTTGCGGTGTACTGAGCCTCGTTAATTTCACTGAGGCAGCTAAAGAAGTCGGACATTGCCAGGAAGACGCAGAATTAACAATTCCAACGCGAAAAAGAGCATGGAGATGCACACCGACACATTTCAATGATTTATTTATGGGCGACGGCGAATTTCTTGCCCACAATCCATCGCGCACGCGCGGCGTCGGTGGCGTCCACTAGGGGCGCTCCAGTTTGTTTCTAAACATAAGTCGGTTTATATACAGGGTGTCCCAAAAAAAAATATTTACAGGGTTTCTTTCACTGCAAACACAAACTATGCATCGCTGAACGCTTATTCCCCACCCACATGGTGCTCTATGGCGGCAGTAACCGATAACGGGCAACCATGGGTCCCATTTTCCCATTAACATTTTGAGAAAATCACTCATAACTTTTTAATAAAATACTCGTTTGTGTTGAAACTTTGGCATCAGGTTTTGACCTCTAGCGCTACCTTTTGGCGTAGAATGAGCACTCGGCCATGCATAGTTTATTGTTGCAGTGAAAAAAACCCTGTAAATTTTTTTGGGGAACACTCTGTACATGGCTTGCAGGTGTCGCCATTGTTGCATACTGAAGATTATTTCTTCCTGCTGGTTCCCTCAAGCTACTACTTCTGCGGTGGGAAACTGACACGGTGAACCGAACGCTCGTGGCACACAAAAAAACTGGCATGGTCGCGAACGATGTTACGGGTAAAAGCAATGTATAGGCCATAGGGCGTACAGTCCTCGGATACGACTACTAGGCAAAATTGTCATGTGTTAATGCCACCGAGCGGCAACGCTCACAACTAAAGCACTCGTGGCCATGAAGGGACTCTTGACATCACGAGCACAACACGCATTGCGCTTCTCGCTGGCCGACTCTGAAGCGAGAGGTAAAGAACTCGTGGTCACGTCATCTCGTTTCCGTGCCCCTTGAAAAAGAGACGTGTTTTCACGGTGTGAATGACTATAGACTTGCCAACTGATTTGCAAAGATTAACATGCACTTGATAGATCGTGGTACAGCAAAAACATTTGCGAGCATTTTGGTCACACCTGGAAAAATCGTACGTCACGTATGTACAGGTTCCTTCAAAGTAAAATGGAGTGCTGGAGCAGCGGCCAAACTGCATCACCTCGCTACCTATCAGCGCCGGCTGGAACAGACAGCTGTCGTCTGCGCATACGCGCGTGCCGTTCGCGGTGTGCTCCGTCTTTCTTGTTTAATCCTCGTATTATTGGCGTCTCGAGCTGCCAAACGCGGTTTTGATAAACATTGCTAGGTGTTCCGCTCGCATGGGGAGATAGCACTAAGGGCAAGTGGGAGAGAAGGCGAGTATCTTTCCGTACGAGCTGAGCAGCTGGCGGTGTCTTTAGGAAGAGCGTTGCGCCACTCAAGCCACCGATAAGATGCGAGTTGGAAGAAGAAAACGGAATCCCCCGCAGAAGGGACGTTCGCATGTGCAAATGTAGCCTATGAGTTCCAGCCGGCACTGCTAGATAGCGAGGCAATGCAGTTTGGTCGCCTATTCGGCACTCCGGTTCACTTTAAGCGAACTTGTACGAAGGCGACATGGTTGGTGCCACATTGGGTTGCGTGACCATGCGAGGTGACATTACGACACATGACAACCTGGAGTGACATGACGCGGTCATGTGCTTCCCAGGCGAAAATTTTCAACTGGGACCAGTTGGTCCCAGTTGCAACTGGTTTATGGAACAATTCCCAGTTGCAACTGGTCCCAGTTGGAGTCGTCCAACTGGGACCAGTTGGTGCCAGTTGCAACTGGTTTATGGCACAATTCCCAGTTGGAGTTGGTCCCAGCTGGAATTGGTCCCAGTTACAACTGGTCCCAGTTGGAGTTGGTACCAACTCCAGCAACAATGAAACACGGCACAAAATGGAAGGTTGACAAGAATTTATTGTCAAAAACTTGGAGAATGAAACTAAATAGGTTCGGTGACGTACACGCTCCGGGTTTAGCCACTTGCTTGCGACGGTTGAATCACTTTTTCAGAGGTGGTATTCATGAGATGAAGGAAGATCGGCCGCTGGCGTCTGTTAGTGAAGACGTCCTCAGCTGCTCTTCCCATCGCGTGAAGAAAGGTGCTCACCCGTGATCCTGCGTTGGGCAGGTGAAGTCCTGATAAGATGCGGTAGCGCTCCCACCTTGCAATCTCTGCCACAACAGTCGAACATTTTCGAGGTAGACCTCCCGCCATTTTCGCCATTGTGCTCTCCGCGGCGTGTTCTCTTCCGTCCGGTCCATGTGCGTCCGGTCTTTCCTGGGTGCCCTCCGATCGCTGAACTGCATCTTTCCATCCTCGAAGTTCACCGCCGCCACCTTGGTGTGTGTACAGTTAGGTCCAAAGAAGCGCAGCTGTAGTTTCGACATTTTCATAACGACGCCAACTTGGGCGATGGCGACCCTTCTCTACCGCGTATGGTGGCTCCGTCCGACTCCGGCGTCAGCATAGGCAGCGCCATCTGTCGACAGCGCGTACCACTAATCCGCACCCGCGTGCCACGGCGGCCGGCTAGCTCTGATTAGTCAAAAGATAAATTTATTTATTAAAAGAAAAAAAAAAAAAATACTGTAGGTACTTAAATAAATGTTTTAATATATTTTAATAATGCACTAAAAGTGTAAATGTAGGTGAACACATTTTGTCACTAATTATATTTTCCAATTAAAACATTATTTAGTTAATTAAAATTTTTATATTATTTTTATAAATATATAAATGTACCCCAGTAATTAAAAATTCCCTATTTGTATAAATCTAAAAATGTTAATGTTTTTCGTTTTCTTCATTAGCAAAGGTCAATACACCCCCATGGGAACGGGAAAGGCATTTGAAGTCCGACTGGGAATCGCTCCAACCAGTTACTTTGTTAACTGGTTTCAGTGCACTCCATTCCCAACTGGGAGTCAAACCAGTTAACTCCCAACTGGGAATGGTTCAAACCAGTTGACTCCCAACTGGGAATGGTTCAAACCAGTTGACTCCCAACTGGGAATGGTTCAAACCAGTTGACCCCTCAGCTGGCCCCAGTTGGACTCCTATTGGTCCCAGTTGATTCCCAGTTGGGACCAGTTAGTCCCAGTTGATTCCCAGTTGGGACCAGTTAGTCCCAGTTGAAACCAGTTGAGGTGCCAACTGGTCCCAGTTAGAAATTTTCGCCTGGGTTGGTGTGGGTTTTTTTTTTTTTATTTATTTACTTATTTATTTACTATACCCTCAGGGCCACATGGCACTGTCTGTCTGTCTTCTAGAAATGCTTCGTAAAAAATTGCTGCTTAGAACTGCACCATATGCTAGAGTAGCAGTAAATGAAGAAAGGGAAATTAAATTCCTAACATTTTTGGGGGAGGTTGGAGAAAAAGGTGAGGATGAACTTCATGGGAATATGTTTCTTCTCAACATACAGTGGGGCTAGCATTGTTTACTTGAATTTTATGCCGTCCAGCTATGCAGGTGAATAAACTGTACCAATAAAATACAATAACAAAACCGCCGAGAAACACGGATGGTCGGGAGGGGGATCCGAACCCAGCTCTCCTTCAGCACTTTGTTTTCTCGGCGTTTTGATCGGTACGCTTCATCCATCTGTTTATCTGGATAATTTAGTGCCATTGAACTCGAAAGGACGATAGAAACATTATAAAAACATGCCAGTTTTATGCCGCTTACCGTGTTGTTGATGTGTTCTTGTCTGACGTGCGGCACGACGCTGTACAAACCGGGCTTGAGGTCTCCCCTCGCAAGGCTTTCTTGCAGCTGCCGAGGAAAGAAACCCGGCTTGAATCATACGAGCAGAATACACAAATTCCACGATGCTACAGCAAGCGAAGCCAAACAGAGTCGTTAGCGGCCAAAGAGCCATTCCATCTCACAACACGTGGTTACGGGGCCGTCTCTTCGGAAACTTTTGGAACGAGATCTTGAGATGGCGTACCTCTTCGTCAGGGTCTACTGAATCTTCTGAGTCTGACATGTTCCCACTTGGCGGGGCAAAGCAATTCGCACGAATTCAGCCGCGCAAAATTTTCAGAACGGTCGAAATGAGCCTTCCTCTCCAGGCTTCAACCACTTTAACCTTTAACAGCGTGGACTACGTCCCACTGTGATATCGTAGCCGTTGCCCTATCACGCATGCCGCCGTGCCGCTTGCTGTGAGAAGTGTTTTAAACCGCCACTAGAGGCATCGCATTTCACCAAGACTGAAGCTGAAAAGAGAACACAACAGAAGGTAGAAAAAGAGGAGGCAACGTCTCAATTAAGACGTTGCCTCCTCTTTTTCTACCTTCTGTTGTGTTTTCTTTTCTGACTCAGTACTCAGTCTCAGGTTTACAATCATCTGCACCGCCTGCACCGCCTGCACTCTAACTATTTTTACAGCATGTCTGTAGCATCGTCTGTAGAACTGGTTTAGGGCCAACCAGGGGCCAACAGGGTAGAGGGCATACGCCATTGCGCTATTTTTACCTTGAGCAAAATGTTCGAAAATAACCGAAATAACCGAGGCACTGCGAAACCCGCCGAAACCCAACCCTGGGAGTTTTGCCTTTGCTGTGCGTTAGGTGGCGCATATAACCGCCCGATTCTTTCGATTTTTACTTATCCAATGTCCATCAGAGCAGAGCCGATTCCGCGCGCGCATTTCGCGTTTTTCGGTCGGCGCATTCGTTGTACTGTTGAATGTTTGTACAAAGACGTGTTGTTGGCGGTCCCCGCGATTACTGTCTGAGCCCTTCCAATACCAAGAATGTCTCATCCGCCGAGAAAGCGCCCTTCAGAGCAAAGAACGTGAGTTTCACTTTGCATTTCTTGCCCGTGCTGGGTATTAGAAAGCGCCTATCGTTGGCTATCGTTCAACTTTGACGTAGGCAATTTCTTCTTTATCCCGTGTAGCACGGCCACCAAGAACAACGAAATGCTTCATCGATATGCTGCGCACGTCAGTCAGCGGTGTCCTGGTGTCTCGACTGCTGAAGAGATTCTTTTCTTCCTCAACTCCGTCGGCGGTGAAACAAATGCGGAATTTGTTGCACCCTGTTCTGCAGAGGGCGCCCAGCTCTGCCACATTGTGGAGTACCTCAGTGTCTGCAACAACTTCCTGCGGTGGATCAGTCTGGAACTGAAAGAAGTTGAGCCCGGAGAATTTGGCTTTTTTCCTTTGGAAATGCATCTCTTTCGTCAGCCAGTTGGTGGTGCAGAAGACCTGTGCATTCGTGGGTGGATCCTGCTACACTGGCTACTTCAGGAGCACCGTTGCATCAAAACCTTGATGCTCCCCAGAACCATAGACCCCAAATATCAGGACGTCTTGTCTGACGCACTGCAGCTCAACTCTGGGCTGAACAAGTTGACGCTGAGGGACTGGCAGGAAAAAGAAGGATTCACCAACATCTCTGCCATTGGAACACTTGCACATCTGGAGGAGCTAGATATGGGTCATGTTTGCTTGTCCCCAAGTGCGTTAGGTGACCTGGGAGACACCCTCCCAGAGATTTCAACACTGCATACCCTTAAACTACCTTCCATTGAAATGGACTTTGGAAATACCGATCATGACGATTATGTCATGCAATTAGTCCAAGCCTTGAAGCGTTTACCGAAGATTATGGTTCTAGAGTCCGAGGATTTTGTTCTGGAGTCCGAATCTATTAATGTTGCTTTTACAGAGTTTGTTGCAGAGAGCAAGACCCTGAAAAAGCTGTGCTTGCACCAGTCTCATTGTTACGATGAGATAGATGCACTCTTCACGGCGGTGGGGCAGAACGATTCTTTGGAGGAACTGCATCTGGAGGGGTTTATACTCTACGAGGATTCAGAGCGGTTGCTTGGAAAGGTAGTTGCACAGCATAAAGGTCTCCGGTATTTAGAAGTTGGGATCTACAGTGACTACAAGGAGTGGCAAATCGAAGGAGTAGCCCTCGCCAAGCTGGTAGGATGTAATACGGGCCTTCGCGAATTGGTGTTTGTAGGCAGCACTGTTGAGTGCCTCCCTGCATTTGCGGAGGCTGTTCGTAAGAACACTACGATGGAGAAGCTGAGCCTCGGTCTACTCGGCATGGATGTCCCCGACTACCGTGTGTTTCTGCAAGCACTGGCATGCAACAAGTCACTTCAACTAGTCACCTTTAAAGAATACTTTAATACATATTTCCATGACATCATCCTTCTCATGCAGGAGACAGGGACTGAAGGAAGGTTGGAGATCAGTGCTAGCATTGATGACCCTCAGGTGTTTGAGAGCAGCCTGAAGAATTCCACAAGCCTGACCAAGATACGTTACTTTCCATCATACGACTCTCGTCCAATGCTGCCTGGTGCATTTCGTCATCTACTTCAACACCGTCAGCTCCAAGAACTTAAGATTAGACTGAATCATCCAATCGAAATGGAGTCTGCAACTTCGCTGGCACTGTTTCTGTCGACCACCAGCAGCCTGAGGCATGTCGCTCTTGAATTTCGTGCCACCTCAGCATCATCGAGGATTCTCGTGGAGGGCATTGCTGGCAATACTAGTCTTACAAGCTTGAGTATCAGTTTCTGGACCTTCAAACCTCCAGAGGCGGACCTGCTTTGGCAGATGCTGGAGAGCAGTAAAACTTTGAAGACGTTAACTCTTGAGCTCCTCGAGTTTGAACATAGCCAAGTGCTCGACCAAGTGCCAGGTGGTCTGTTAAACAACCACTACCTGCTGACGGCAACTATTCAACAGAACCCAGAGCACTGTCCAAATAGATATTTCTGTGGTACTCGCGGGGAGGTTCGGGAGAAGCTTATCTTTGTGAGCACGCAGACTTTCCAGTTTGGGGTCCAAGAACTTGTGCGACGGAATCTGTCCACCCTGCATCGTGCCGTGCAGTTTGTCATGGGGGCATGTGGCAGACGCTTTGCCGAGGCTTTCGAGCGGGTGTCAAAGGGCTCAACCCTTGTTGAAGCATTAAAGAAGGCTACCAGCGATTCGGAAGAGGAGATCAAAAGAAAAGTAGCAAGTAGCACGCGCTACCTCGACGAACACTTCCTGGTAGAAGCAGGTGTTGTCAGAGACACTGTGGTGTGCGGTGAAAGCAGCAGAGCCCAACTAGATCAAATTGGTCTTTACAACTGGCTGCATATCCGGCAGTTTCTCAAGGTCACTGACATCATCTTGAAGCCTAAAGGACTCTCAGCAGGCCCGAGCTCTTCTAAGAAGCACTGCTGACAGATTTGAACGAAAATTTTGGGGCACCATGTCTTGTTTTTGTGGTGCAAGGGAAATCCCCCTAGGAATTTTGTTATAAAGCTTTTGAATTGATTGTCCCTGCTGTTTTCATCTTCTAAGTTGTATGACAGTGATCTTAGGGGAAGACACCAAGGTGAGGAAGGTTTGTTAAAAAATTAATTATGCTTTTAGCTCGGTTGGAGGACAGCTTGCACTTGTGCCCTCTAGACAGTGGTGAGCAGCTGAAAAAAAGTGAGTCTTCCAGTTTTCTATTTTTAGTCCTCTCCTTGACTAGAGGAGCTCCTAGGCGTTGTGCGTCTAAAGCTAACAGATGTGTGTTGCCACATGTCTGAAACGAAAAGATGTTGCAGAAGCAAGTGGTCATTGTGAAGGTTGATAACAGCAATTTTTAGCCCTGGAAAGTGCTTTGGTTTGACTAGTAGCAGCTGTAAGGTCTTGTATATTGTAATTTGTCATACATGTTGCTACTTTGCACAAACTGCGCTAAATATTTTTTTCTACATTTGTGCGTTTGAAGTTAGCTGTGTTGTAGCAGGAAGTGGCCACGGTGCATCAGGATTGTGCAGCTAGCTATGGCAATCAAAAAGATGCTACTGTGCGCTGGAGTGAAGGAAGGGAAGAGATGTGCCAATTGTAGCCCTTGGATGCCGTCAAGTGAGCTTTGTCACAGGGTTTTATTTGTTTACGCATTTGTTTATATTTTTTCACAGATCGGCGAGTATTGCAGCAAGACACTTGTACAACTTTGTTTATCCTCGTCATGTTGTGTGTCATGTGACACCCTGACCCTTGACCTGCGTTTTGGTCAAGCGGTGCATGTCACTTTTCTCACCGAGTTCAAGTGAACGAATATCGTAAAGAAGAGGCTCCTGCAGAGTCCGAGGAGTCAGTGGCACACCTGCGATCGAGGTGGTAACGGCTGTTGCTGCGTTGCTGTCTGCCTGGCTGCAGAAACTCGGGCTGTGGCCAAAATATTGAATTTATAGAGGCTGTGTTCCCGCTCATTAGGGAGTTTTAGTAGATCATTTTCAAAGGCCCACTACCGCTACGAGCGTGCGCTTCAGAGCATGCATCGAAGTGGCAGCGCGAGCTCCCGCTACGATTACCGTGGCCTGGGAACACTATCTACTTAAACTCTCTAATTACTCAATACGATAAAGAAATAAACTATAGCGCACCGCGAACTTTTATTGAAACTGGGGTTCGATACTGAACTGGCAAATCTTTGAAGAACTGGAGCTCAGTTTGAGGGACACTCGAGGAAAGAAAAGTGAACAAGGATCATGTGACGGGCTAGTTGGTTATACATTACGAATTTAAAAGTAGCGCTAAAGACCATCTTTACACATGAACTTCCCACAAACAGAGTCCTTCAATTTTTAGACTTGCAAATGACCTTCCAGGACAACCATTTGTGCTGGATGTATTCACCAAGACCAAATCCAGTGACTGCAAAGTTTGGGATACCTCGAGTCCATCTTGACGGATGTGGCAGAATGATATTAATGCTTGAAAAAAATACAAGACCGAAGCAAAGAGAAGAGGAGCCGACCAGCCATAGTGCCGTACATCCATTCCGTATCACATAACTTAAAAAAGGTAGCCAACCAAGGAGGTTATAAGTACTAGGAGGGGGCACGTTGCAATATCGGTGAAGCCTAGTCATAAAAAGTTTAAATAATTTTGTGCCCAGCGTGACCACAGATCGCTCTGGCGATTGGTGCGCGTGACATGCCGCGTGCAAGATAGATGGTTGATTGTAGGAAAATTCCTTGCAGGTTTGCGCGCGCTCCGTCCGGTACGCTTTATCAGATCGAAGGCTAGACGAAGGCTAGCTACGGTCACGTGATGTGGTCATGTTGGGCTCATAAGTGAGGAGAGTAAGGAGGAAAATGAGAAAGAGGCAAGGCGTCAAGGGAACATGGCTTGTGGAGGCTACGCGGCTGACGTCATGCCCTCTCCTAACCTTCTATTCTCCATGTAGCCAACAGGTTTGATGTCAGTGTACGTGCACGGTGCTTTCTGCACCTGACAAGTTGAAAAGGCTGTGTCCGAAATTCAACTCTCAACACGACAAACAGGGCAAATGCGATGTCAAGCATGTTAATAAGTTTGTGAACTGCCTTAGAGGCGTAGTATACGAGATTTTATTCTTGTGTGGGAAGGTATACGTGGGTCAGACTGGGCCGGTGTGTGAACATGAAATTGCGAGAGCATGCACTGTCTCTAAAGCGCGAAACACATGTACGACGAAACCGTCCGATCCGTCATCTGACCAGGCAATACGACGGTCGGAGGCGAGGATTTTCAACGCTCTCCGGTGCTATGAAAACCCTCGTCCCCAAGGTGATTCCGGCAGTCCGCACGTCGGATCGGACGGTTTCGTCGTACATGTGTTTCGCGCTTTAAGTCTTCACCGGCGGGACATCTTGCTCTACAGGGTGATTCAAGGAGAGGCCAGGCTCTTTAAATCGACCGCGAAATTCGGTTTCTTAACCTATCGCGCTACGACTTTGTGCAGCGTTGCCCACAGATGGTGCTTTTTTTTTTTTTTTTTTTGTAAAATTTGCAAAGAGCGAACTTACCTGAGGAAGTAAAGAAAGAAAAAGGCTTAGCTCCTATGAAAACGCAGTGAAGCTACCGGTCTTCAAACAACACCAACGTTACTAAAACACTCAGTTGGGAAACTCCCATAGAGGCAGCTTTGAAAAAATGGTCCCAATCTGTCTCCGAGCACCGAGCTAATGACGAACACAACGCCACCATTTCTCCCGCAGCGGCTACTCGAGGAACTGCACGTGACTTCTATTTTGGCTTTAAGAACAGATACAGCGGAAGAGGTTACAGGGGTGCCACACCCGTCTCCCCGGCTGACGCACTCCGTATAACTACCGAAGTTAAAATGCACCTAGGTCGGGACGCGCTACCTGAAAGCCCCGCTGAGGCATGGTTGTATAAAAACAATTAATTGTGCCGCAAAACCCTGCAAAGTAAAGATTTTAAAAACATAACGCGCCCCTCTTTTTGTACTAAACTCCAATAAATTTCATACAAAAAGAGTCTTTTCCGTTTGTTTTTACGCAAAAACAGGCTTTCAAAAAGCTCAAGGTTACCACAGTACAGACAAATGACAAAGAGTGGCGCTGTTGTCGCATTTAGCTCGGTCTCGGTGGACGCCAGCGGCCCAGGTTTTGACGGCGAGTTTCCCAACTGAGTGTTTTAGTAACGTTGAACAACACGGCGCCGTTTCGCACGGGAGACAAGAGATGGCGCGAGCGGTCGCGACATAACCGCCGGGAGCCGATGGCTTTAGCAGAAAAGAGGGAGTTTTAGAACAGCGCACGCTAAAGCTTTGCGTATGCAAAGAATAGGGAGTTTTCGTAGACCGCGCTACCCCCTCCGCTAAGCGTTCCGCAACGAAGAAGTCGCTACTGCGCCTGTTCCCGCTATCGTAGCGGATTGCGGAGGGCCTTGCGGGACGGCGAAAACGATCTACGAAAACTCCCGTCGCCACTGCGCATGCTCCGAACGCAAACTAGGTTTTGCGCTTTGCGAGCGCAATTTTAGCGTGCGCTATTTCTCGGAAATAGCGTGCGTACGCAAAAAGTCTTTGCGCTTCTCCAAGGCGGATTCGTGATGAGAAGTTGGCTAAAGCCAAGACGAGCACAGTTAAAAAAATGGCGGCTTCCAGGATTATGTTGGCGGCTGCTTTGGTGGCGTCGTGAGTATGCCACCCTAGTCGTGAGTGCGACGTCGGCGGCATCCTGCATCCTCGCGACTGCAATATTCAGTACGGGACGACATTGTTCTCGGTTTGGCAACGATCACCGGCAACTTGATACTTGCGACGCGTGAAAATTTATCGGCGAAGGTATGATGTGCGAAGGTCAGTACACGAGACCTCTCTTGCCGAGGCGACGCAAGCGGACACGACCGGTCAACCGCTCGCGTCGGATTCTCGTGTTTAAACAAATCTAAAATAGTACTCTGAACAAAAAAAAAATATATATATATATATATTTTTTTTTTAAAGTTACAGCATGAGTGTGTGAAATAGAAATTGTGACTATCTTGGTGGCGTCACAAGCGCGAGCTGCTTGGGCTTTTGCGTCCCTAGTCGCGATACATTTAGCGCTAATACGAGCGCTAAATTTAGCGCTTGTAAATTTAGCGCACGCTAGCGCTAAATCTAGCGCTTGTATTAGCGCTAGCGTGCGCTAAAATTGCGTACGTTATTCTAAAACTCCCTAGGGAAGTGCGGTCCCAGTTCTTCGTCTGCTAGAGACGCCGGCTCTCAACGCCGTATGCTCGTTCGTTGGTGCGGCTCTGCGTTGGTGTATGGTGCAGAGTGCAGTGGTGTTGGTGGTGTCCCGTGCGAAACGGCGCCGCCGTGTTGTTTGAAGACCGGTGGCGTCGCTGCGTTTCCATAGGAGCTAAGCCTTTTTCTTTCTTTACTTTTTCCTCAGGTAAGTTCGCTCTTTGCAAATTTTACAAAAAAAAAAAAAAAAAAATGCACCATCTGTGGGCAACGCTGCACAAAGTCGTAGCGCGATAGGTTAGGAAACCGAATTTTCCGGTCGATTTAAAGAGCCTGCCGTCTCCTTGAATCACCCGGTAAATACGTTACTCGTTACCGATTCTCAAAAGGAACACTTTACCTCAAAAGTAGCGAGTTACTTTTCTCGTTACTTTGACGACCTTACAACTGCTCATGTTTCGTGATCTATTGTTTTCTTTTCAGTAGCCGTTGCCTCTCGAAGTTTTCATCGGTTATGTTTCCCCGATTCCTTGATAATACATTTCCGGCGACCCTGAAAAGTCCTGACGCGCTCGAAGAAACGGCAGTGTTGTGCTTCAGGATGGGCTGGTGAATGTGGAATTCCCCTCTTTAGTTTCTTCTCTATGCTTCTAAAGTTTGAAGTTGACAATGGGTTCTGTGCCTTCCCGCGTTGGCAACTTCCGAGTTTACATCCGGTCTGAGCAGGTTGAGCAGATGGGGACAGTGGATAACACTAACAGCGGCAGTGTAGAGGAGGAACAGAATTGTATAACAATGGAGACGACCACAAGAGAAT